AAATAAATAGCTGCGTACGTGTGACAAACAGCAGCATCACTTTTGTTAGCCTAGCACCACTAGTTGCAGATCGACAATTAATCATTGTGGTTTTTTGTTTGTTTTTTTGTCTCGGGGCGCTTGGTGCTGTTAGTCTTTTTACTCTTCCTCAGAGACCATTTGAAAACACAACGACTGCCTGCACAGGTTTTCTTGTGTTAAAAAGCACAAATGCAGATCATATTTCACCTCACTGTTTTTTTGTTGTTGTTTTTATTAATTCCATTTAATCCTGCGTGGTGAGATTTCTTTTTTAATTCTCATGTGCAGTGCAGGACGCAGCGGTGAGGAAGGAGGATTCCCCCTCCTGTCCAACATGAATGGTCAACACAAACCTCATCTGATGTGTTCTCCACATCAGCCTGGAATGGATGAGCTCACTGTCCTTGTTTTCCTGCAGATGCAGGGATGTGAGCGGTGATTCACTATCACAGTGGGTGACGGTACGAAAAGAAAAGCAAGCAGTAGCAGGACCGGGTTAGTGCGTGAAGAATGCTGCATGTGGAGGATGTAGTTGAAACTCAATTTTAGGAGCGGCGCATGCGCTATTCAGCGTCATATGTCTCTCGCTCTGTTGCACAATGTGTTCCAGCGGCCCACCCCCAGAAGGATTTTATATAAATACATTTCCACAAAAATCCTCGTGAAAAGTGCCCTGTCTGTCTTGATTATTATTATCATGACGGTATGCAGTGTTCTAGGAGTCGACCATTTCCAGCGCCTGGTGGCTGCTGGAACGGCTTGTAATTCAACACCTTGTTTAGCCTCGTTTAACCTGAGCACATACGTGAGTCCGTGCCACACCAGCTTGGTACGTTGGGAGGAGCGAGGTGTTTGACGATGCTCACACGGCTGCTCTCTGGTGTGTTGAAGCAGACAATAGCCCTGTATGCTTCCATCCCAATAAAAACTGTCAGAATGCTGCAGGCGCCTTGATGTACGGCTCACATGTGGGGCAGAAGCACTTTAAAGCAGCAGTCAGCGTCAGTGCCCCCCTCAATTTGGGTTCCCTCTTAAGGTACACTGAGGTCAGCAAATGTTTGGGTGAACAATTGCAGGGATCATATCAATTTTGGCATTCAGTTTTTGCCAAAAGAGTCAGTTTAAACAATAGACCCCAAAAACGCAAAACCAAGCGGCAGAGGTTTTTCAAAATATAATATATTCTATTCTATTGATACAACAGCAGACAAAAAAATCCATTCAAAAAGATTGTTGAAAAAAAAATCACAAAAAGCCAGAAATAAGTTTAATTTAACGGCTGATGATTGTTGATTCATGGAAGCGGATTATGCTGTCGGATTCATTTTTCCCAGTGTTTGTGTTGGTGATCTTGGTCTAAAACAGTTCTCATTTCTTTTTTCAATTGAGGATGTTATTGTTGAAACAAGAATTAAGACGGCTTACATGCATTGTTTTACAACGTCTTGGAAACTCCCCAGGGGGTAAATTAGGAGTTTTCCCGTGGCTCTCAGACTAGTTTCACTGACAAATACGGTGTCTGATTCAACAGAGCACGCAGTTGTCCTGCTGTTGGACTGAGAACGCCTCTGGGTCTTTGTGAGAGCAGAGGCAACCCAGATGTTGTTGGCTGCGTCGTGTTTCAGCTCTTCTACCATTCTACTCCCCTCTACTGCTCAGAGGGAGCCTGTTCTCCGCCGGATGTGTCCTCATTCAAACAGATCTTTTCAGTAGTTTGATTTGTACACTCTCACTACTTTTATCTTAAAAGACCTCAAAGAAGCACAAGTTATACGTCACAAAGTTGTTGGGACTGTCCCGTTAAGATGGCTCCTGAGGGTCACACTTTTCCCTCGTGGCGATTTAGCTGAAGAGAAAAAACAATAGGGAACAAATAGTGTACAACTCAACAAAAACATCACTGATACCTGCATACCTTCTCATTACGGAAGAATCCAGGGGATTGAACACTGCACACGCCTTGGTAATGCAAAATAATTGTGATCCAAGCCTTCGGTGCTGCGATCCCCAAACAGCTGCAGCGACACACACACACACACACACACACACACACAGCGGTAGAGGAGCAGGCTGTGACTTGTTATTAGACAGGAAATCTGTTGGCAAAATAAATCAATAGAATACCAAAGGAAGCAGCGAGGTACGAGAGGGAGGAACTCTCTGGTTCATCCGAGAGGTGACCACGAGAGAAGTCGTTTCATTACTTTGTGATTCAAAGAGGTATTTTTCCCTTTGGTCGACACGTTTTTTGAAAACTATCTGACAATTTGTTCGGATGTTATTTGGCAAGGGGTGTTTTTTCTTTGCACATTGTACAAAAAGAATTTGAAATGCTCCAGAACTGAATTTGGTGATTAGTCTCGTCGGACTTGGTACAAAGAAAAATCCGTTCTTAACGCAAAATAATGTTATAAAAAAAAACACAGATAAACAGAGCTGTCTGGGAATTTATTTTCAGAAGAAGGAAGGTGTTTGAAGAGAGTGATATAAATGACTGACGGTCCCGCTGTGTTATTTCTCTCTTCCCAAGACCTGTAATCACTCGACTAACCGCTTCACCCCCTCGGCCTCGAGCGCCGAGCCTCAGGTGCTGAGCTAAATGAAACATCCTGCAAAGGCCCCTGAGGAAGCGCGTCTGAGGTCACCGTAGGAAGCGAGTGATTGCCTATACGCTGGTTCATCAACCTCAAGAGGGCTCCACCGCTACTTCACGTGGGTTCAGAATTTTATACTGCTGACTGAACTGCAGATCCCCAGTAATAAGTGCTGATCTCCATCTTGAGCGCTGGCCCTGTGCTTTTCCCTATTTGACTCTATCACAATACCCAGATGGTGTTCATTGTTTTGGTTATTGGTGGAAGATGTGGGTGATCCTCCCACTGTGAGAGGTCCACCTTGAAGATTTAAACATCTTTTGAAATGCAAACATTTGTTACCGTTATAAAGTCTTGTGTATAATCTGTCTATCTGGAAAGCAATACTATGAGGCAACTGCTTGCCAAAATCATCAAGAAATGAAGAAAGAAATGCTTTACCATCAATTTTGATCAAATCCAACATAACATTATCTATGTTCTATTCGTACTAAAGGGCATATGATTATTCCTTTCGTTACAATAGCATCACAAGCTTTTAAACAAGCTTTTAGTTTCTGAGATCATACAGAAGTAACTATGTACTCCTGAAATGTATTTCTGTTTTTGAAGTTATGTCTCCCTCTATTGGAGTGGATCCGTATTGCATACTGCCACATCTCCAGGTCCATGCACGTATTTACAGATAGTCTTCCCTTCAATAGGTGTACTTTCATTTGAAAATGTATATTTGTATAGTAGCCTGGATTATTTTAAAAGAAATGAATTGTTGCAATAACTGGCGGCACGGTGTTGTAGTGGTTAGACCCGTCGCCTCACAGCAAGAAAGTCTGGCTTCCTCCCGCAGTGCAAAGACATGCGCTGGGGATCAGGTTGATTGGTAACTCTAAATTGTGTGCGGATGTGAGTGTGGATGGTTGTTTGTCTCTGTGTTAGCCCTGCCATTGGCTGGCGACCAATCCAGGTGTACCCCGCCTCTCGCCGAAGGATTGACTCTGATCTGCCACTAAAGATCCTCCATTAACTTCCATATGACCCCCTGAATTAAACTCCATACCTTTCGCTCACTCTCTGTTGGTTGACTCAACTAACTGACTCTTTCAGATCAGTTTTCCCATAACGTATGTGAGCAGATTATTTTGTTGCTAAAAAAAGCATTAAAATTGTTCCCTACCGATATCCGACTCCCCCAGGGGCTCCTTCCGGCAGGCAAACCAGTCAAACTATCAGATCTTGGGAAACGCTTCAGCCTCTGTGTCATCGTCAGCCCCTCACACTCAGGCATTCGCTCGCAGCCAGTCTGCAAATTCCACCAGCCTTTCCATTGTCCCACACACATATTCAACATACTTATAATTTGTGATTTGAAATGAATTATGCTGGCAATACAAAGAAGTGGACAGGTGGACAGATATTTACAGGATGAAGAGGAGGGACACACAGTGGCCTTTAGTAGAGTTCTCAAAGTCATTTCCTGCTTGTCCTGGCAGACGATCCAGCTTTGTGTGTCTGAATAACTCGTTACTGCCGCACAGTGGACACTTGTCCAAAGCCTCTATAATAAAACTGTGATACTGTGTGGGATTAAGTGTTCCCCCCCCTTAAAACGGTGGGCTGCACATAGTTCATAGTGTTGTCATAGTGAGTCTTGTCGTTTGTTTTGCGTTCACACCTCATGTATTTTCACGTTTTCAAAATTCAACCATCTTTCTTTTACATTACATTACATTACAGGTCATTTAGCAGACGCTTTTATCCAAAGCGACTTACATTACACTTTAAACCCATGGCTTTTTCACATTTTTACCCGGGGAGCAATTAGGGGTTAGGTGTCTTGCTCAGGGACACTTCAACATGGAACATGGGGCAGTCTGGAATCGAACCCACAACCTTGTGCTTCCCAGCACACCTTCTCTAACCCCTGCGCCACGACGACCCCTCAATCTTCAATTGAAAAAAAGAGGAAAAGAAAATGCATTATTTTTACAGAGACATTTCTATTTGCCGTCACCTAAAAATGCGGATTTCATTTTATTTTGCGCGTGCTTACACTCTACACCAGCCTATACCAGAATAAAACGGACCGCCTGTGTTGGGTGTGCGTCTATCTGCCCACTCATCACTGTATTCACAGGTTCTCCCGCGAGGCTGGAGTTCATGTACTACCTGGTGTACTTCTACCATTACGAGGATGGCAGCCTACTTAGTCCACTCCATACCGCCCTCACGAGACCGAACACAAACCGTTAAGAGCGGCACGCTGCTTGTCCATCCTCCGCTGACTCCAGATGGGCAGGTTGTCCTCTAGAGTCACGTGGTCACGCAGGAGCATCCTTTGCAGAAACCGCCAAGGCTGCGAGGCGCTTTCTTCACTCCGTGGGTGGTCACGCCGTGGGCCGCTCTCGCCGTCGCGGCATCTCTCCGCGCCTCTTTGTTTAGGTTTCGCTCCCCTCACCTCTCCTCCTCCACGCCGCCGGACTGCGCTCGGAAATCGCAGGTAAGGCGATGCGCGCGGCGGGTGTCGATCGCCGAAATGTGCGACTGCGTTGACTCGCGAGTCTTCAACCGCGCACTGGCATCAACGCGACGCAAAGAAGGCGCACATGCCGCGCGAGCACATGGATTCATTATTATTCACATTATTTTTTTCGGGTGTTGCATGGAGTGAGATGTGCAATCTATGTCGGACCAGTGCGTTTTCTCTGCAGGTGCACGGATCCCTGCGCGTGCACCGCCGCGCTCGTTGTGCGCGGCCCCGGAGGCGGTGGCTGGCTGGTGTAGTGTGTTTACACTCGTGCAACAGAAAGTGCAAAGGCGCCTGGCTTGAAAAAGAATGCGGATGATAATAATAATAATACTAATACTGATGATGCAATGTAAAATGCTTTGCAGGTCACATGAGCCTTTGGGGAATAGCCTGAGATTGAAGTGCAGACAGCAGGCGGAGCTGGATGGAGCTCACACAGTAATGACTCAGCAATATCCTCCATGAGGAGTAAACTAATGGAAGAGAAAGAGAGTGCAAAAGATGCTGGCTGTTTAGTTCCGGTGGGAACCAGATCGCTTGTTGTAACTTGAGACCTTATTAGCACAAAATGTTTTATAAATAAGGAGTTTCAGGATGAAGTGAGAGTATCGATTAATGTATCACTTATGTGCGAGCAAGAAGAAGAAGAAGCCGTGAGTGGGATTTCGTGAGCTGTGTGAACCGCTCTGCCAGGCAGGGTTCTCGTTGTAGCAAAGTGAAACACATACTCTCACCATCACACACAGGTTTTAATTGTAGTCAGCACTGAGATTTATGTCCACAACCGAACATATAATGACGTGATTTGTATTTCCTCCCCATGGCGCTGCTATCTTAGAAAATAATCCATAGTTCGCCTAAGACTTTAGAACGGGCACGAGACTTGGTGAGCAGCCACAGACGCCCTCCTGTGTTTTCGGTTCCAGAAATGATGATGTTAACGGCTGATTCCCAGTCTCATGCTGCGCTGGTTGCTCATAGTGATGCCTGCTTGAAAAAAAAAATTGTGTAAACGTCCTCGTAAAAGCCTTGAATCATTTTCAAATACACACTCATTGTAGTTTATTACCAACTCTTACAACTCATGCAAACAACCAAGGACGCATTCTGCTAAAGGTCACCAGTTAACATGGAAACACCTGTTGCTCTGAAACGGTTTGGATGCAGTGGGAAATCTGCAGAGCTTCAGTCCCCTGTAACATCGATTCAGACGACCGGACAACAATCATTCTGATGCTGCTGGCCGTTTTGATTAAATGTTCAATGCTTTATAACTTTCATAGCAAAAGGCCATTCGGGAGTGAAACGGTCAGGAGTTATGCAAAGATTCTTGTTTATTGCTTTGAGGCCATACTTTGTGTTTGGCCTTGAAACTCCACCGCTGCACTTAACTTCAACATCGGTGTCAAAGTCTGAAGCCTCTTTAAAACTATTAAAAGAGCCACAGTCTCTCAGAGTTTACTCACTTGTCTCTAAATATAGATTTTCACAAAAAAGAGTCTGTCTGCAGTGGGTTGATTTGGCCCAGAGTTAGGGGAGTGGTTGTTACCTGGCAAAGACCTGTTAATGAGGACTCTGCTGGCGGTCTCTGTCCAGGCCTCCTGGCCGACATGATTGCATTGTGCTCGCACAGATGGCATTTTTGGCAGTGCTGCCCGCTTGTTGATTAAAGCCGTGCACGTATTAAAGGCTACATTAAGTATTGAGCGGTGTTACCTATGCTGCTGCACCCCGACACGTGTTGGTCCAACACGCCCACTGTGGTCTGCAGTGACGTGTGATCCCTCTGCAGCGAATGTGAAGCCCTGTCCATGTTTGTCCTTGTGTACTGTGAAAGTCGGCAAGATGTCTCCGCGCTGATGCCAAGAGTCAGTCTGGTATACTTCTTGATGAGCACCATGATAATTCCCAGTGAACAAGGAAAGGTGTTGAATGATAATTGTGTGTATGAAGTGTCATTGCTTTGAAGTGCTATTTGTATTTTGCGACATGTTATTGACATGTGGGATTGCTCCCCCCATCATGTCTGAAGCATGAAAGGGGCCGGCGGTTCCGTACAGCAGTGATGTGGACATTCTGCACCAACCTTTGTGTGGAAAACGGAGCTGATCTGGGAGGGGAAATGAGTTTCCCTCGTAGGCTGGCTGGGCTCCCACTTAGTGACGGGGAGAAGCTCAGACCTCCAGAGGGAGCTCGGAGTAGGGCCGCTGCTCCTTTGTGTTGAAATGCCTCCTGGACACCTCCCTTTAAAGAGATTGGATATCTCGTCTGGACTGGTAACACCTCCGGCTCCACCAGCGAGAGACTATATCACTGGGGAGAAGGACCGGGCAGCTGAAAGCTAATGGATCACGGACTGATGGTTTATTAATGAACTCTTTGGAGTATTACTCCAGACTTTCAAAGAAATGCTGCGCAACAGTAGACACATTATTATAGATACAACAAATGTAGCTGTTTAGAGAAAGTAAAGCAGTAAGCTGATGAGTGATTGCAATGTTCACTAATATTTATGACTCCTTGAGTTTATTCAGTCGTTGACCTCAGCAGGAGGCCGCAGAAGACTTCAGCATCTTAGCTTTCCTTCCAAGTTGCGTGGCAACAATAGCATTTGACCTTTTTCTTCAGATCAAATGTGATGCAGTAGAATTATGATTGCAGTTATTTGTTCGCAGTTTCAGTCACTTCAAGTCAAGACCCTCTTAATACTTTATTCTTGATTTTTGCAGTCGAATGAACAGAAGATGAAGCTTCTGTTCGTTGGCAGCAGTGGTATTATTGTGAGACGCAAACTTGATTAAGTACAAATGAGTCACTTAAGCCAATAAATTTGGTGAAACAATTATTCAATTGATGATTCAAAAATAGAATCAATAAAAAAAGAGCTTTGAGTAGTGGTCGACAAAAGATGCCATTGCTTAGGGACTTGTCTCATGTCTGACTATAGACATATATTTCTGGCTAAACTGCATTCAACTGTCATAAAAACAAGAAATAACAAACAGGAATGAATTGTGGGGTAATATATATATTTTATTTTATATATATATATATATATATATATATATATATATATATATATATATTGCATATCTATTCATTTAGCTGTCGTGTTGCTGGCTGGGTGAGATCCATCATCGGGTGATGAGTGTTCCGCCCTCTCGTCCATTCGACAGAGCGCATTCCTTCCCTGCCCTGAAATGTGTGGCAGGCTATTTTAAGGAAGTCACCCTCATCATTTGTATTGTAGCGCTCTCATTCACCAGAGGTTTTTGTTTCCCTCTTCTTCTTGTGTCTGTTGGTATTCCTCAACCCCCGGGCCCCCCACGACACACTATCAATGTCAGTCACTCATGTATGTCAGCGTCGCCTTCACACATTCAAAGGGCGAGCCGTGCACGGCTCTCCGATTACACAGCTGGCATGAAGGGGGCGGGACCTTTCGTATGACTGGAGCAGCGAGTCAGGTGGCGGTGGGCAGGAGCTCGGGGGGCCCGAGGTCGCTGCGCACTCCGCCAGCGGGGCCGTTGAGGATGACACCCGGGCCCCTCAGACACGGTAGAAGGTAGGGGGGTACATGTGTAGCGGCCTCCTTTTGGGCCGAACACAAAACAGCATATTCATCTCATGCTTTTCGTTGTTCGCCGCCTTCTGGGAGCCGCGAGCCAGTTGTGAATGTGTCAGAGGGAGCAAGTGAGTCCGCTAAATAAAATGGTGGTGACCGCGACTCCAAACAGGGTTTGTGTCACTTGTTATTTATAGGCCATATTCCCTATTCTCTATATATTCAGGAATGGCTCTCTATTCGTATGACAGAGGGGCATGAACTTTGCGAGCACTGCAAATCGATTCGGCAGACGAACGCTGAGTGACTAGACGCTGACTCACAGGCAATTCACGGCATGTTTACAAGGATTAGAAGCACCTGCTTTTTGCTCCAAGTGATAACCAAAATAATCAGCTGCGTCTATTTGGGCATCATCTGCATAATTAAGCGGTGCCAAGGTGCCCTCTGGTGTTTGTTTATCTGTGTGTGTGTGTAGCCTGCAGTTCAGTGTTTGAAACCACTGCGGAGTATTTACTGCTGCAAAGTATTGATGCAAGTTGGGTGAAATTATTAAATTGCAGAGGAGTAGAATGAAACCAAATCAGCTGTTGCCAAAGTAAAGAGTCTATTGAGTGTTTTACGGTCACGTATCTGTGCTTCGTACTGTAACTTCTGCAAAAAAAGAAAAATACATTTATTTTCTCTCATTTGCTGCTTGCACACTCGTGCAATCCAACAGCGAGGTTTAATTGTTGTCAAACAAAGAGAAATGTTGTACACTTATTGTATTTTCATAATCATGGCATAATAACAACAAGGACCGTGACTGTCTACTTCCCGGGGAGTTTTCCTTGTGATTCCAGACCGTTTTACATAATGATAAATTGATTAATGATATGAATCTCTGGACTGGTTGTAGCAGTGGTACACATCAGTCTTGTACCTTGATAGAAGCTGTGGTCTGTTTTACAAAGGACATGAATTGATAATTGCCCTTTTCTATTTTTTTCTGATTCTGCTATATTATTTAAAGCATTTTGACGACAGTTATATAACTGTTCCCTTCAAACATTTACTTTGTGTATTTCTCAGCATGTGTTGATTATATACAGTGCAACACATGCTCATATATCCCTGATATCTGACTGGAAACCTTTCTCTGTCCTGTGCGCTCCCTTGCAGGTTATGCCACCCCAAAGGCTTGCTGGGTCCCCGGCCGTGAAAGAGAAGGGCTGATCCCTGTCCTCCCCCCAGGCTCCCGCTGCTCTGCCCCCATCTGCCCTCTCTGGCTTATTCCCCTCTCCCAACACCACTGACCCCCCACCCGACCCCCCCCCACACAAACGGCCTCGCCTGGCATCACCTGTAAGACTGTCCGTCCTGACACATCGGCCTCTTTCTTTAGTTAAACCGCAGCCACACTAGCATTTCCTCCCGCCGGGCCCCATGGCTACAGGAGGTCATGCCCCAGAGATAGATGTGTTGGACAACCTGCAACAGGTAAGAATTACTGATACAAGTGAATTAAAGCCACTGGGCATTACTTTCATGTCCGGTATTATGAAGCGTGACACTTTGTTCGATTTGGAACGATAAACATGTGAAATAGTTCTTTTGCAGCGGCCCTCTCAGCTAACCGCTTCCAGTTTGATCTGAATTACTCTAATTAGACCCGGGAGCTCTCCCAAGCAACCTAGTGAGTAAGAACAGTGCCACGGTCCCTTTGGAAGAATTACACGAGGATATCTGTCCCTGCCACGTCCATGTCTGTTTTTTAACCACAGATTGAAAGCCAGAATGCCACTAACTTAACTTTGCTAGCCTAACAACTGGACACGGGGAAAGTATCCAGCTATGTTCAGTAGGTATTCTCATCACATTTGTATATTCCAAAATGTCCAATTTATTCAACAAAAACACAAGGGTATAATACAATTGTATTCTTTGAGCATACAGACAAACACAATTAGCCATATGGACGGATTACCTTATTCAAAAAAAGAAGAAAAAAAATGTATCTTTTTGATGGGCAGAACTTGTTGATGTGTAAGCACAGAATGTTACGCAGGGTTAATAGTTTGTTTTGGAAATTGACTGAAGATTGGGGAAATGGATATGCAAATGCAGACAGCTGAGAACAGCTGGCTCACTGAGTTACTCTCAGTAAAATAATCCTTCACAACCAAAGGCCTGTAGGGAAATTAGTGTTGGCAGTCTATTTCTTAGCTGCGTAATCTTGAACATTAGTTTCAAATTCTCACAAATCTGCTGCCAAATAGCTTGTTTACAGTAGACCAGATACACAACATGTTTCCTGTTTCCCCAACTAAGTATGTTTCCAGCTGGATCTAATATATTTGTGAAAGAGGCATATGTATGTAACTGTTCTCTAACCCTCAGACCAGGCCTGCCAAGCAAATGTGTACTCTATATCATCAATGTCAAACAAAGGCTCTCAGCTACATGGCATTTTTTATATTGTTACAATGCAGCGGGTCCCTGTTCTATACAATGGAGCTTGGGCTCAACTCCAAACTCCTCCAGATCTGACCTCCTCATCCTGTATTGAAGGCTGAGCCCAACTACTCTACGAAGGAAGCTTATTTTTGGTTTGGAACCCACCAAGAGCTGACCCTTCATAAAAACCATACAGTATAAAACTATACCTGTATCAAAATATAAGTGTAATACTGTTATAGTGTCGGTGCTGAACAAAAAAAAAGAAAATGGTGAATTGATTGAGTCTTGTATCGTGATTGAAGGAAGTGCTCAACTGCTTCAAGACTGAATGTCCAGTGTCTCCCATGAGGATGTTCTAATGCTCAAAACGCTCCCTAGCTATTAGCCTTTGTTCTCGGGGAGAAAACGCTCTGCCAACAAAGTAGGTGTCATTACCCACAGTGGGGACAATGTCGTCGACCGTATGTACAGCCCATTGTGACACTGGTTCGAAGGAAATGAAAGCCCCTTCAATTCCTTACCCTTAATTACTTGGGAGCTCTCTCCTTACAACCCCCCACACGTTATATCTATAGAAGGACAGAACAGCTTACTGTATTTAGAAGCCTAACCTCATATACTGTAGCTGATCGATAGCTTATTATTATTTTTCTTTGGTGTGTGTGTGTGTGCAGTGAAATTAAAGCAAATTTCTGTGGCCCAGCTGAGTGCGGGTTGCCACAGAAACATCCCCAGCTGTTGCCAGCTTACGTCAGATGCAGTTTTGCAACATGATCTTCTCTTAATTCTTATCATCAAATGGTGAAGATTGTGGAAATTCTGCTGTGACTGGACCACATTTAAGGAAAAGTTGCAAACAATCCCATTCGTCAAGGCAGACATTTAGAAATAATGGCTCATAAACGTCCGCTGTGCAGTGAAAATGAAAGAAACACTGATGCTGATATTTGTGTTAGTTGGGATTTGTTTGGCTAGAAGGAGTACCATCTCTTTCAATCACTGATGCTGGAAGAAGAGATGATTGGCGTGGGAAGTATAAACACTGCTAAATAAATACGAGCACAAAGCAACAGAAAACGGCATAATCAGCAGAGGCAAACAGACTGATTGCATATTTCCACCCGACTGGATTTTTAAACATTTTAAAACTGACTCGGTAGCACTGCGTGATCCTTCTAAAATTGACAATGTAAATGCAAATGTGAAGTGATGCCATCACATAGTGTAACATACAAGAGCCCAGAGGCGTCACCTTGCTCAGCATGAAGAAAGAGATAACTCCCTTTGATTAAATTAGGTCGGTCCACATCCAGCTGACACAGATTCAATTGTGTCGTTCTGGTCACATGATGAATGCATGTCATTTCTAGATTTGCTCTCCAATAACACGTGGTGCACAGAGCTTTGTGAGAGTAAACCAATGTGCTATATGTTAAGGATGTAAAATTAAAAGGCTGAAAGTTTGCATCAACCTTCAGTAGAGCTGAAACTGTTAAATGTAGTGATTGAGCGTTGAAGGTAGAATGTTGCCACCGTTATTGTAGAGCTGGGAAAAAATATTTACACAATAGTTCACCTGGAACAATGTACACAACAACATGATGTTTCGCAAGGAATTATGGTCTTTGACAACACAAAGGTTGTTAATTGTTCTCGGCTTGAATAGAGTTTTTACCGGGGGAAATTTAAAGAGAAATGTGTGGGGTATTTCCTATCGATGTGTGACTAGTACAGAAGTGGTCCCTCTCAATCCCAGAAGTGCGTGTTGGGGTCTGTATCTGCAGAGTAAACAGCCGTCAGGGGGAGCGATTGTTCTGTTGTTTTATTTCATGGCTGCACAGTCCTATGAGTAAATACCCAGTGCTCTGTCATGGAATATACAATATTTCCAGCGTGAATCTTTAAAAAATAAAAAAGGTTTTTAAGGATTTTGACCATCAGCAAGTCTGATGGCAGCTTTAATGGAAACTTAATCCAACAGTCCCGTTTAGTTTGACCCATCCAGCACATCTCCGGCTCCACATGGATAAACCCTCTCACTGCTTAAACAACGTCACCAGCAGCACATCCACTCCAGACATGAATAACCCCAAATAGCCCAAATAGGCCGTCACCACAGAAGCTTTTCCTGATCATTACTGTGGGAGCATGCCATTTGGACAAAAAGGGTAAACACCCTCCTCCATATTATTCAGCAGCTGATGAATATTTTAATGCCGCTCTCTGGCTCAACATTCCATCAAATATGAAATATTGATGCGGCAGTAGATGTTGGCCAGTTGGCTCATGAGAAAAGGTTAGTCGGTTAGTTGACTGAACAGTGATCCTCTGCTCGATGTGCAGGCTCTGCTCCTCAGGAACATTGGCCAAGTGGCCAAACCAGCCCCGGAATTGTCGAGGTTTTAACTCATGGAACGTTGTGTTTGATGAGATGGATGAGAGCTTTTATCCAGCATTTTTATTTTTTTAAATCTCCATCTCCATAATTGGCAACACAGCTGACGGTAAATAGGTTATAATCCTTTTGTGCTCCAGCGGGTTTATACCAAGCGGGGAAGGACACACTTGACTGCTCTCTTCTTTTGTTTTATTTTCTACAATTGATCATGGAATGTATGGATTACAATATATCAGAAATTGTGCAAAGGGATGAGCCTAATGCATTGTTTTGTCAGAACAATAGTGCATAACCTAAAGATAAAGACAAACAAAAACAAGTACTCATGTTTTTGTCACTTGTGCTTTAAAATGACAGTTAATGATTAATCAATTAATACCATTTTTACAAATATGTTTTGCTGAAGAAAAAACATAAACAGGGTGTTTTTAAAACGACTAATTTAATAATATTATAATGTGTATCTTGATTCTCTTATTCATATTTAAATACAGAATATATATAAAACATATTTCTATAGCAAAACCCAGTCTTGTCTCTTCTAAGTTGTGGCATATCTTCACCATGGGGGAATTACCTTAATACATTGGTATTAAGATTTAGAGCACTAGACACTATTGCCAGCTGGTGTAAAATAAAAAATAAAAACGTCCTTTTGATCTGACAGGCTATGAGGGAGGTGTGAGTGGAGTCCATCTGAGACCGGCCTGCGTCCCCTGATCCCCACCCGTCTCTTGAGAGACGCACTGATATATTTTATTAGATTTAATTTAAATCGATCTTATTACCAACCTGCTCTTGTTGAAAGGACAGCTACCCTTCCACCGTGGTTTCCAGTTGCTTTTGGTGACTTTCTCACCAGACAGAATGACTGGTCCATCTGTGTCAGTGTGGCTGCAAACACTGGGATGAACTTAACGTCTCTGATTGCCATTCTGTCCCACTGTCGATTTTTAAATGTGCTGCCTTTCAAATCTCAGTCTGGCATCCAAATCTGCCTCGCGTGGTGCCTCCAGCATCCGCATGGGTTGCTCTCCTGCTGTGTCCCTCCACCTACAACTGACTTCAGAGACAACATGAAAGAGTTTTGTGCCGAGGGTGATTCCGGGAAAACGCAGGTTCAGAGGAAAATCCCTTTGCTGTAGTATCTGTATTATTCCACATGCAGTACATCAGTATTACACTGATGCAGTGCTTGAAAGGTTGCAGGGATATAGAGCACCTAAAGTTGTGAGCAAAACTGAGCACGCTTTCAACTGAAAACGATGCTTTTACCCCTCACTGAAGTTAAAATCCTCCCTTTTTATAGTCTGCCTGACTTCTGCCTCAGCCTTGTGCAGATGGCCATCTCAGATCCTTTAACATACCTCGTCCCTTCTTCCCACTGGTAATTAGGGAGTAATGGAGACTTGGCCCAGAGAAATCGGAGAGCCCCGAGCAGTAGCCGCAGGGCCTGCCGCTCCAATCTGAGGCGGAGGAAGCAGCCCGTCCCAAAGATTTGACCTATCAGAGGCACCAAGCGGCTCTGGGAGGACACTCCCTCCAGTGTCTCAAGGGGCTGTCTAGTGCATTAGTTCTGCTGCTTAGCACTATGTTGTATTGATTTGATGTCCTCACAAGCAGTGGAAGGTGTACACACACCGTAAGCTTATTGTGCTGTAACATAAATATAAGTGCACTACTCTTGTGACAAATGCACAGCAAGAACAGGGTTCTGGGTCGGCTGCGGTTGGTCCTTGGATCGATTTGGTGCGGTAACAGCAACAGATTGTGTTGGCAGAGTGTTTTTTTAGTAGACCGTAGAATTGGCGATGGAGGTCTCTTACATTTATTGGTTCTAGGTTCATCCTGAATAGAACTTCTACCACACATCAATCGCAGTATAAAAACTAGTAGTATAAAAACTGCACTTCACTTCCTCCACTGCTGTGTCATAGACTTGCAAAGACTTGCAGCGACGTGATGAAGTGGTGGAGAAATTGTTTTAGACATTAAGAATTTGTTGCTAATCAGGAAACATACAACTGGGTAATGAAACTGGGATGTGTTTTCTTTATGCTTAGCGGGGGACTTTGGAAATGGATATTTGGATGGATATATGTATACGTGTTTATTCCCATTCATGAAGAATTATGCCGACTTCTGTTTTCATCATTCATTCAGGAAGGTGATGACGGATCAGCAGAGGAACTGGAGGGAGAAGAGGAGGAGGAAAACTGGGAGAAAGCCTTGTCTGTGGAGCGCTTTGGAGACATAATCAGTGATTCTGCTTCCACCACTGGAGACAGGATGGGCCGCCACTACACCGAGAAAGACTTTGAAAGTAAGCTCCAGCTTGCAATTACTTAATATACATTATATCTACAAGAACAAAATAGCCACTGTCTGTGGACTGAAATCCACCACTGTGTTACAATATTTTTGCCACAGGCTTTGAAATATTATAAAGATATTCAAGGTCCTGTGAGAAAGATTCCTCTCCTCAGTGGTGATTCCCCAGACTTTTTCTCTTCAGAAGTAACCGGGAGGTTAACTTAAGTTTATTTTAGGCAAAATGTGTCCTGACTGCCATTTAATGTGGTAACACCATTTATATTCCAGTCAGTATGTATTGTATTAACTTTAGCAACCTGTTATCCCTCATCTTCAGGACAGCTGATGACCAATGCTTTGGTTTTTACAAAATACACACAACTGTTCAAACACTGACATTCCCTTCAGGCTCAGCTCTACACGTAGATTGGAGATTACAAGTGGACGTGGCCATTGCGACGTCACCAATTTGTTACCGTTTTGAGGCCTCTACTGTGGCTGTTGGCCTTTAAATATTTTGTTTGTGTTGTGTCTTTCAAGTGCTCAATAGGGAATTGGGGAGAGAGGGCGAGGAGGAGGGCGATCATCACCTCTAAGAATAGCATATTCTTACTTTGCACATTTTACCCAGTGGAATCAAATCATTAGGAAATTATCATGTGGTTCTATAATCCACATTTTTGTCTTGTTTGGAATATGTATAGTGAGCCAATGCGTTATGGCTGAGATTCCTAAATTCCACTAAAATAATTTGGTTCTGTGATTTCGAAAAAATGTTTATAGGCTAAGGAGCATTCGAAGGTACCTAAAGCTCAGAATAATAACCTCCCACCAAATATGCTGCTGTCCTCTTGAGGAAAGATCATTACTTGCTATTTCCAACATCAATATATTTTCATATCCAAATGTTCATGCAAAATTAATTGACTACACACCTCTGATTCATTTTTCAATGTGGTTTAACACAGATCACAGACACACTTTTCACCATACGCACCACCCCCTATCCACCCACCTGCCCCTGCCCCAGCGACTACGCAAGAGGGTGCACAGCATGGACAGAAGGCGCAAGAAGAAACGAAAGAAAAAAAAGACCTCTCTGCCCCCTTCCGACGTTACACCCACAATCCACGAGGTAGACGAGGAAGCGGCCGAGTCTGAGACCGACGGACAGGGAGTGGCTGCCACACCCACGGAGCTACCTGACACCCAACCACAGGTAAAATAGGACTGAGGAACCGTGGGGCTTCCAGGGTAGAGGAGGAAAGATGCATCCATACATTTAATGCAACTTCGTCCCTGATATATATGCATGAACACAAGTTTGCAGGTTCCTCCCCTCTCACTAATCTTCCTCTTCCTCTCAGTTTAGTTTGGGGAGCCAAGAGGACTTGGAGGAACCGCTTTCCCACGCCGCCTTCCACACGGAAAACGAAGAGCATCCATTGTCCAGGAAAACCTCACCCATTCAGATAAAGAAGGAGGCTCGTGATGGGGGAAATGCAGTTTTTGGACCGAATGAGCAAGTGCATGGAGAGGCTGGCAATAGGTAGGCTAGGACAACTTGTGCCACCTCCCAGGCCAAATGTAATGTTGATTTGGTTAAAAGAGGGGATTTGAAACACCCTTTGAAACAATTTTGTGAATGAATCTTCATTTCACACAAAATTTAGTGGATTGTGCTTGGTTTTCCTCTCAGGTCCATTTTACTAGGGACTGTGTACTGGTGATGTTTGATGGAACATACACTAAACATAAGAAGAGGGTGTTGCTCTGGTTCACTGTAGTTTAAAAAGCCTTGAAGGCTGGTTTACTTTTGACTTGTTCAGCAGTACTATGGACTATTCTCTTAATTAAACACCCACCTGCCAGCTAGACAGTCATTTCTATTTTGTATGCCATTGCATAAGAAAGGATGCCAGGCTTCATTGGAGATGATTCAGTTATTATTCTGAGGACTTATTGTTGCATCTAATATATCTGTGAATCCCTTTCTAAAAATAACAGGCACAATAATTGGTAAGAAGCAGCTCAACAGAATAGAGCAGACAAGAGCACTCTTTTGGCATGCATAGGCTCAGATTTATACACATGAACTTAACATTGGCATTACATTAAATATTTCAGTAGTTCTTAAGGCTGATGGTTAGATAACGGCTTCGTCTGGGTCCTAGTTATTGGAAGACCAACTGGCAATGCATGACATCGGAAAACATTGTTTGTTTATTTTTCTGTGGGTATAGCATAATGTATGGATCTTGCTATTAGGTGGTCAGGGCCCCCATGGTGATTCGGGTATTAGTATCCGCTAATATCAGGTTGGATAAGAGCACAGAAACCCCATCGAGACTGTGCCATGCACGATTGTGTGGCTGTGCATGAGCTAGCACAACTGAGGGTGACTCAGAGGTTTGCTGAGGAGACACAGTCCTACTGTTGTGTTGTGAAGCCCTCTACTGGTGAGAAGACCGCAATGCAGCCAAGGCGCACAACCCATCATTTCGCCAGCAGCTACGTATATGTTTAGAGTAAATCACAAAATGAGAAAAACATTTGGAGGTCTTCAATCTGCCTTTTGCTTTTGGTCAGTGTGCCCCAAGGATCGGATCCCGTAATCTCTACCGCAAACCGCACCTGGCTCCGTAGGAAGCCCGTCCATCATCGTCTGGTGGGCGCCCAGCGGAGCAATTATGACCTGCGGGAGCGGATTTGCATCGGCAGCATGACTGCCCTGGAGACGGCGGTCTACCAGCAGGTGCCCACTGATGATGCAGAGGCCCAGATGCTGGCCAGCGCCGACCTGGATGACATGAAAAGTAAGGGAGATGTATGCCAGGTTACAAGTATTCTACGTCTCAAGCCACGATGGATGGCACTAAATAAAAGGACTGTTGCTATGGTTATCGAACCATAACAGAAAAGTCATAGACCTGGTCGAACCAAATATTATTTATACCAGTGTACTAAAATATTACCCACTACTCTACCAAAACTTTTCATATTGTAACTATTTTTTTCTCGCAGTCATGACATGGCCGGGTTTCTTCTGTTTCCAGCCCAATAAAACACTACTTTGAAATGATGTCGTTACTGTAGACAAGTAAAGGCTTTGGAGCAGGGAAATGGTAAATTAGTCCCTCTCTTTCAAAAGTAAAATCTGAGATCTACCTATTTCATGTCAACAATATCAAAGGGATCTTTGTAATTATTGCCTCTTTAAAATATTGGTCGGACTGGAAAGCACGTTGTGAAATGTTCTGCTCTGTTGCCGCTAAAAAGTATTCTTATTGCGGCCTTTAACTTGTCTCCGGTGTGGGCGTCCCACACATAATGTCTCATGAAGCCCACCCCACACACTCCTGGCCCCCACGCACATGTTTAAAAGTAGGATTCTATCTGGGTTACACAAGTTACACTTTCTACTCATGATTTCTGTATATGATTATCTCATTTTCGGTTTAACGATAAAGATGAAAATTTAATTTTCATTCATGTGGATGTATGAATTGCAGTTATTAGTTAGGATTGTTTCATAAGAGTCAATGGATAAAATGCATCAAAACTCTGCATTACCACTCATTGTAATGGGAGGCCCGCTGCAGTGAAGATTTGCACATGTATTGCTATTTGTTGAAGACTTTTTCTCTCCTCAAGGTATCTTATAACTTCAGACTAGATGCCATAGTTGCTGATCCGCCAGGGCACAGATATGGAGAGTTGAAGAAACAAACCTTAGGTGCTGTGCCGGCTGCAAAATCTGACTTTTGTGAGGCTGACTGAGTCTACAGCAGCTGACTTTAGACCATGCTTAGAACCCTGCATCATATGTTTATCCTTGTGCATTTAGAAACTATAAAATGCACCACATATGTCATGTATCCAGGGCAGCCTCCCTCTTCCAGCGTACAGGCCATTAATTAACAAAGGATGCAGTCGATTCCCCTTCAGCAGCGACCCTGCCCAAGGCCTTTTCTGCTTTACCAGAGCAGAGTAGTCATTGACTGTTTAGAAACCGGAATCCAGATGACCCACAATCACTCCAAACCAGCCATCGGATTTGCAGGGAGTGGTGCTTCACATTGACCAGCCATGTGTATCGCTGCTGATTGGCGGTAATCTTCAGCTGCACTCCGAGTTAAGGTTTTAAGTCAAAGTGCGATCATTGTTATAGTCTGACTAAAGCTGAAGAAGTAGCTGAATTAATTCTTTCTGACTTCATAATCATGTTGTCATAGTTGAGTCTCTGGCGTCATGTCAAGCTCATCTCAAAGATATTTTTAACTGAGACAAACGTCATTACCTCTATTGTAATGAGTTGGGGATAGTTTAAAAAAAAACTTGATCTTTGCATCGCAACGTTCTTGACTTGCGAGATGTAATTATTCTTCATGGCACAATTCATTTGGGATCAAAACATAATTTGTCTCTCGACAGTAATGATTGTACACATTTTTTATATCTCAATCTGAAATTTTCCACAAATTATTCAACCATTTTGTCAAGTGGCATTCACAAACACACACACACACACACACACACACACACACACACACACACACACACACACACACAACATTCAAGAACGTCAAGCACATTTTAGTGAGGGTCCTTTAAATCTCATGCTGAGCCACCTGTTGTAGACAAGCCAGACCACAACACCTCGGGGAAGCTCGGTTTCCATGGAGATCCAGGGGTGGGAATGGTGGAGCTTGCTGTGATAATTGGCACCATGATGAGGGTGATACGTATTATATTCTTCCTTTAAGTTCAAAATTAAGTGCATTTTGGTGTAAAGGTGTGCGTTTTCATTTGAATGAGATATGGGTGGAGAAGGCAGCCTTGACCCTCATGCACGTCACATGGTTGGAAAGTGATGGCGGCCCTATGGAAAACGAAGGGCATAAACTCTTCTGCTCGGATCCATTTTATGTTGGATTTCCAAAAGCCACCGAGATCAATAAGCCGGGGACATCGTTAAAAAAGGGCGGCACTCCCTCCCAGCTGACGGGCAGCTCTCACAAAGTAGACCATCCCTTATCAATAGCCCTTATTGGAGCTGTAGAAGGTGAACGTTGCAACCATTGATGCATCGCTCTGATTGTGGACGCAAACCTGAAGGTGTAGCTCCAACTGCACAAAAAGCGTGACTTTGAGGATCTTGGGATTTGTTGCTCTGGACTAAAGGGTGATTATTCTCACGGACACACTGTCTGAAACTGAACGTTTTTTTGTTCCTAGCTTCGTAGAGCTAGTTTCTTTTCAGAAGTTGGACTACCTGAATGCAAGAAAGTCTTTTATTTGCTGCCTACGGCCAAAGTCCTTTAAAAAACACACAAACAAATATTGGAGCTGGTTCTGAAAGTTGTAGGTTATTTTGCACAACCAGGGCAATACAACAGAGGTGGGCTAGTGTTCCCTGCAAAGACTCCAGCTCATCAGAGCAGCGACCCAGGGCGAGCAACGGCGCTCGGGTTGTGGAAGCCCTGGATGATCAGTGCGTCCGCTCGGAGAGAGGAGGATAGGAGGAGGTACCGACCGTCGAGATGACAGACCTTGGGGGACAAGAGAACCAGGTGGATGGGACCGCTGATAACAACCACGGCACTGACCACCATGGACCCGAACGTCGCTGCAGTGTCCAGAAAGGCTTGGGCAGCCCAAAGCGGAACCAACAGGAGCACCACAGCTCCTTGTGCAACGTGGAAGGGGACTTTGAAGAGTTTGTTTTGGATTTTGATGACTATGACTTGCTCGAGTCAATCCACAGTCAGCTGGGGTCATCACCCGAGCATACGCGTAAGTCGTGTGTAGAGAGAGACACCTATAATTACATCAGGCTTCCCATGAAGGGTGTTGTGATGCAATAGTTCCCCCGGGAAATTCCCATGGATGATTCTATTTTTAAATGAACCATCAATTCATCGATGAATGATCTGTTGATTGTGTGCATGCTTAATAGCTCATTCAACACACAGAGCAGAGTTGCCCACAGTATTGAGCGAATTGACAGGGCGCTCCACTGTTGCTCTTTCCTCCTTTCCCATTGATCCAGTGGCACCCATTTGGCTCTGGGGTAAACCACAGCTAGAGCGGAAAGAGATTTCATTGACCAAAAATGTGTGGTTGCACTGACGATTTTTTGCAAGGGGTGCAAACACATGCAAAGGGTGATCTGCCTGCAATACCTCCCCACAGGCTTACAAATTGGCTAGAGTCCAATTTTATAACCAGGACACGTACATGAGCCAGATAGTTTCAGCACCCTATGTGATACTTTTTATTTAGCCTTTTAGATGTGGGCAATAATGCAACTTTAATTCAATGCAAATGGATGAAAAAAAATGTTATGCTTATTTGAAAAGAAAAGCTTATTAGATTGAGGCACCTGGGCCGAGACACACCCCTCCATCTTCAGGGTTGACATTTTGAAACACTACCAAGAATTTTGGAACTGCCTAACATTGATTTGTGAAAGATACGATTGGGAGCGTTGCCACTTGATCCATACAGAGATGGGACGAAAGCGAGATGACTCACTCAATAACTGCTTGAATATATGATTTAGTTTTGGGCAGGTTTATGAATAACCACACCTGCCCAACAGGTTATGGGGGCCAATCTGTACTGGCCAACCTGCAACAATAGTCATTGATGAAACATCGGAACAAAATATGCAAACCTGCAACAAACTGTGCATATTAGCACAATTATCAGGCATGAGAACTGAGACAAGGAGGGCCGAGCGAGTTTTGAGTGTGAGGGATTACAGAGAGAACAGAAGCTGCAGGTGGACTATTGCACAAAATGTTTGACACGGAAGCTGCATATGGAGTTTACATTTCTTGGTCATGTGTCAGATCTACGTAATGTCAGACGGGTCGGATGTAGCTTCTGTTAAGTCAAGTTTTGCCTAACAAGTTGCTCTTGATAACAGACATTTATGATGTTTTTTATAAACCTTCACCACTAATTAAGGTGAACAAATCAAACTGTTTTCCACAGTCCCCATGAATGATGTAACTGGCTGAAAACACTGCTAAATACAAAGTTGGATTTGTCGGGAATAATACATTTTGGCTGCTGATCTAATCTATTGAAAGTAGTTGATACAACCGGAAAGTGTCAATAGATTGACACATTGTGTATTGATTTGCTCACGCTCCTTTTAGATGTGTATGTGTTTGGTATTTTAAGAGTTCCTTAAGATCAAGGGCCTTAGTCCAGGTAAGATACTAGTTCAAGAGGAACAAAATGTCCTTCACGCTGAAGCTTCTCCGCCATTTGGTGAGAGCACTTGGTACAACGACAGATTTTTGTGTTTCCCTCGCAAGACTACAAAAGGAAATACGGCCTAACTTCATCTTGATTTCCATTTCTCTCGACTCCCCTGGCATGACACAGCAGTATGGAACAAACTTCTGCAGTTTTATGAGCACACACACAAACACTCATATATACTTGTGCCCCTTCCCCTTCCACTATAGTCAGCTCACATAGAAAACCAAAGAAGACAGTGTTTATTTTGTGAGAAAATATGTCCAACCAGTCTTAGTGGTCAACAGCAGTTCCAGACTGAATGCAAATGCAAATCTCTCAACTGTTGCCGACAAGATGGAAAATCAAGCTAAACACTGTTTTGAAAAATAGTGGGTAGAAAAGTCATTTGAAGGTAAATCGTGCAGAACTACTGGTTCTGCACGATCTACTGGTACCATTTCAAATTTGTGTCTTAAATCAAACATAAATGTCACCAAATATATTACCATTTATCTAATAAAAACACACACACATTCCGCCTCAAAATAATTAATGACAATCACAATTCTTCGACCATGAACTTTACCACTCTATCAACACACTTCCACACAGGTTTTCTTCATTTCTTTATCCAAATGGTCTCACAAGCTTTCCACTCTCTTACATGGAAAATGATAACCTCACTGTATTGAAAATATATCATCATTATGCTGAATAAATCAAAAAGGATTAGTGGCTGAAGGAAATTGAAAATGAAATGACTCTTTTTGAACTGAAAATGTCTGGAGGCAAAACTCTGTGACAGTTTCCCATGGCTTACGTTCTGTAGATTCTCCCTCACCCGAGGGGCTCGCTGCCTATCTGTTACTTTATGGTACTACGTCAACTGGAAACTAAAACAGACATTCAAATTAGAATTCTGATTTTCCAGCCTTGAGCGTATTTTCAGTCAGAAAGCACGTTGTATTGGATTCACAGTTGTAGAAAAATAGCATCTTAAGCCGCTGCTTTCAGATGCACGTAGTTGTGTTGGTTTCTAAATTAGTCCCCCAGAAAATCATTACGAATTAGCAATCTTGACCTTTTACAATTTGATTTCCAATGCTTGCGGCTATTCAGGTCACAGATTCGAAGACAACCCCGGGGTGAGACGCCACCTGGTGAAGAAGTCATCGCGGTGTCTGGTGACCCGATCGAACAGTTCCACACCACTAAGCAGCCTGAAAAAGAAGAAGAGAGCAGCGGAAAAGAAAACCCATGAGGTTTGCAGCATATTGTTTACCTCCAACAACATTAATATGCACACTGACAGATGGATGAGCACTTTGTAGCAGTATTCATTTCTTGACCGATTGGAGGCAATCGGACTGCCTACAAATGCACAATGGATTCATGATATGAAAATATTGGTTAGTTCTTTTTGTTGAGTGGGACTCTATCGATGGTTCTTGGAGTGCGGTCTTAGTTTGAGCACATTCTTCATCATTGACCTGATGAGACTTGAATAGAAAGTTGCTCCTTGTGTTCCACCCCAGTTTAAACCGCAAAAATGTCCCAAAAGCACAAATCCTATAAGTATTCTATTGCATTGCTGTAAGAAAACTTTGAAACAATACGTTGAAATGTGAGTGAATGTCTCAAACCATTTGGTTTTCCTCTCACTCCAAACCACTCTCAGACGGATCCAAACCACGCAGTTGCTGTGTCATTGGATTTGCTGTCTTTGCAGTTATTTTCCTATCAGTTCAATGTATTTTTTCTGTTGAAAAAACGTAGGAACGAGCAAACTGTGGCTTTGCTGGTGTTTTTTTTAAAAACGTTTTTACTTGGAATCATATGTATTCTCAACGTGCTACCCTTATTGAACTTTTACGTAAGAGGTCCGATATCAAGAGCTTTAATTGCGTGTATATCTCTACTACTTGATCTACAGCTGTTTGTGGAGCTGAATGAGCTGATTGTGGACAAGGACCATGATATGCGTTGGAAGGAGCGGGCCCGCTGGATCAAGTTTGAGGAGGACGTGGAGGAGGAGACGGACCGCTGGGGTAAACCCCACGTGGCCTCCCTCTCCTTCCGCAGCTTGCTGGAGCTTCGCCGCACCATAACGCACGGTAAAGGCCTCCTGCAGTCTTGTGGTTTAACTATTTCCATATCCGGCTGAAATAGAATCATGACAAACAAAAATAAACCCTTTTCTCCTGGAAAAGTGTTTAGCAAAGCGCCGGATGGACAATAAACCACCAGGTCAGTCCTTTTATCCCGTCCTGTGCTTTCCTTCTAAAATGTAGGTGCCGTCCTTCTGGACCTGGAGCAGAACACTCTGCCCGGCATCGTCCATCTTGTGGTGGAGACGATGATCATTTCTGACCAGATCCGAGCTGAGGACCGACCCGGTGTCCTCCGGGCTCTGCTTCTCAAGCACAGGTCAGCAACCTCTGCGACGCGAGCTTTAGTATTTACTTACTTACTTGTCTTTGTCAAGTGAGTTTAACTTTGTCAAGTCTGTTTAACTGTCTGACTCTCTTTGACTCAAACTCCGACTGAATGGAAAGTGCAATCATGAACGGAAATCAATCACACTCATTCTATGTTTTCAAAAGCAACTAGTTTGCAGATAAATGGTGCATAAGTACTCATACTTTTCTTTCACCATTTCAAATTAGTGTCTTAAATCAAACGTAAATATCACAAAATATAATTTAACTATAGAATTACACACATGGTGCCTCCAAAATAATGAATGATAATCACAATTCTTCGACCGTGTCCTTTACCACTCTATCAACACAGTTTTCTTTAATTTCCTTATCCAGCATTTTTCTGAAAGAACACTTTATAAAATTAGTATTAATAATGAATGCCTGCCTCCTCCTGTCCTTATGTGGACGCATTCATTTAGACTAAAAGAGAACTCTTTTACGTGTTTTTATAAGTTGCCACAAAGGCCTGAGCTGGAACACTGTTTCTGTTTTGTGGCGTTTGTTGCCATGGCCTTAGATCTTGATTTCATTCCGTTTAATCGATAGTACTGTATCAACAAAACTGCCGGTGTACAGCAGTGTGGACACAGTTTTGTTGAGATTTTGAGCAGAGATTGAAGGCATGGCAGCAGGAAGAATGAAATCCAAACCCTCCTCATTAATCATTGTGCTGCAGTGTAGGTTGTTACTGAAAGGCAAACTCGGGGTAACTGAACAGGGAATTTCCAAATTGTGACATTCAACACTTGGCTCATCTCTGATGTACTTCCCCGGGCTGACTGTGTTGCGCTGTAGCTGCACTATATATCGTCAGGCATGGACTTTCAAATCAATAATTAAATAAATTAAGACTAATTCTTCATGGTGTGAGTAATAATAGCCCTTAAGATCTTTGCTTTTCGAGTCAAACTTGATTCCATTTGAGCAAAAATGTCTTTAAACCGTGGATTTCAACTATCAGAAAGTACGAAGGAAGCATTTCGGGTGAACCTATTCTGAGGTTTACTGTTTCTCGTCATCAGGGTCACTTGGTTTATTTTCCCTTTGTGGGTTTTTGGTTCTTTGTGGTTTCTGCATAATCAGGTTTTTCTTTCTTTCCATCGCAGCCAGTCTGCCGACGTTGGTATCAAATTCAATGATGTTGTATGAAATGATTGGTTCTGATGTTTTGTGTAGATTATGTGAGATTGTGTTCATCACAGCACACCACAGGGACCCGGACAACTAGAAGAGCTCAAAAGTACCCCGAGCCTTTGAAAAGTACAGATGCTGTCTTCATGCTTGCTCCTTCCCCAGTTGGTATCTTGTATCATTTCATGGATCCCTGTGAATGCTGCGGCGCATAGAGTGGTCAATGCAAAACAAATATTTATTACAGTGCAATTTGGCTTTTGGTCGATTACCGTTACGGAACATATTGCTCGGACGTTAAAGGTTCTGAGCTTGTTACTTAAGTGCTCCCCTGACTTTTTGGTCTGGTAACATTTTTAAGGGAAATGTATCAACAGCTTGGCTGCCATAAAAAGGGATAAGGTTTGTTCATGGTGCCCAGAATTCAAATCCTTTTGCTAATTTTCAAAAGAGTTTGGTAGGACATTCCCTGGCTTTCTATCCGGAGCTACATTCATACTCTCAAAAGCAAAGCCATGGACACATGTGATAAAACATAAGGTTCATTATTATAGGCTTCCCTAATTTTGCTCAATTTCAAACCCTAAATGAGAGGATTTACAATGAATATAATGCCAAGAATAAACTTTCACTCATTATAAGTATCTCATCTTGTCCTTATGTCTTTGTATACAGCTCTCATAAGGCACTGGTCCAGTGTCCTCTGTCTGCCGGTCCCTCTGTTAAGCCAGAATGGTACAGACGGGCTTCGATGAGTAGCATCATTCTTGCATGGACAATGGTGTGATGACACTTCAAAAGTTTGGAATAGACCAGTAGATTAATGTGAAGAATTCAAGATTACCGTCATTGTGTTGATCCAAACTAACCTGCACGGGTTTGATATTTCACACACAAAGCGACACAGCAGATGCCCAAAAAGTGAGATGGCCAGGGGACATCCTTAGCAGCAGGACATTGTGTGTTCATTCCATCTTTCACAGCCATCAGACATAAAGGTCCAGCATGTCCCTGGCTGCTTCCACAGGGTTCACGAGGTGGAAAGAAACACATTGAAATACTGCTGAAATCTAGCTCATCGCTTACTCAGACCACTTAAAGATCCTCTGGAAACTACTTCAGTACAATTCCCTTCCGTGTCACACCTCGTTCCTTTGTCCGATCCGGGCGCCTTCTTATTGGACCATGTGGACCTGATGATGTGATGTGAGTAATGGCCTGAGCAGGAAGCCGTGTTTAACCCTTGTAATCCGGGCTAGTTTGACACACTAAGAGTTCTCCGTAAGAGACAGAGAAACGTGCTACACACATTAGTCTCAGGCTATTTTATTAACCTTCGAAGGTCAGTTTCCCTTTTTTTATGAAGCCTTGTGTCAACCTCAAACTTCCTCATGAGAGCATTCTGATTAGCTTGAATTGTTGAGTGGTTTGGATTCGGATCATGCGGTTAACTTATATTGTATTATATTATATTGTATATTTCTAAGCTGCATTAAAACAGCATGTCAAATGAACTTGTTGTAGTATAACAAATGCACTTTAATGTTATAATTAGATTATTCTTAAAATAGAGAGATAACATGTAAATTCACATTCCTTTGAAGGTTCACAAATATACAGAGCCTTTCAGCGTGGGAGCCTGACCAAATTATTTTGATTAATAGCAGCTGATGTTTAAAAAGTTTTTTTAAAGCTTGAGTGGACCTTGTCTTAAGGGACTAGTGCGTAGAATGTAGTGCCATCTTTTCCAAGCGTAAATTATCCAAAGGTCCTCTTTGGAGCCAGAGTTTGGTTTTGCCGTTGGAAGTTACTGATGCAACACAGCACACTATGTAGACATGAAGGGCTCATTCTAAGCCCACAGTAAAACAACCATTCTTCGTTTCAGGTGAGTATACACTGAAAATATAGTTGTGAATGTAATATGTTCTCAGCACCATCGATCAATTTACTTGATTGATCGAACGAAGTGCTGCGGGCAAAGGTTTGCATGCCAATATCACAAAAACTAATACCATGACGCCGTAATCTTTACTTAACATCAGCGTGTTAACACTGTCACCATTTAAACGCCCATGTTGTTATTCAGCCGACGTCTTGACGTCATCTCTCCCTTTGTCTCCTGTCACAGCCACCCGAGTGATCTGAAACATCGTTTTCTCCGCCACCACTCGTCCAGCAGTCTTCATGGCAGCTTCAATCTCAACAATGTCCAGGAAACCAGTTTGCCACTGGTGGCTGAGGAGCCGGAGGAGCACCAAGATGGCAAAGGGGGGGTGTACGACCCAAAACAAGACGTGTTTGTCAGCCTGTTTGTAAGTTTTCCTGTGTGTGTGTGTGTGTTTGAGATGCTGGTGGCAGTGACACGTCAGATACGTGTAACAGTGAAGGCGATGAGCACAGCACGAACACCAGTACACGCGGTTTATTAGTTTGGACAAGAATCCACTCAGACAATTGAGATCAGCTGTCTGAATGGACAGAGACACGAGCCACATTGAGCTTTTTTGTGGAAGTTTATGGTTTGCATTTAGTTCTAAGTATCAGAAGTAAGCGTTATTACACTAAATTCCTGATGTGAACCCTGTGGCTCTCGCGCCCCCATCCCCGACCCCCCACACAGGGTCAGAGGTCACAGGTAGTGCTTAAAGTCAGGTGGAGCAATTCCACATGTGTAGAATTATGTTCTTAGTCAGCTCACAGGTGCTTCTAGTTAAAGCTTCTTGATGCATTAACTGTGAAAACACAATGTTCTCTGTGGCTTAAAATGTTGGCAAATTTAAAACAGCCTATTAAAAACATTTTGTTCAAACATAAATAAGCAGTCATCCACTTGGGCGGTTTTAAGTGAATTAATCCAGCAGAATATTATTTTGCACACATACAGAAACGTACGGAAATTGCAGTTCACACAATAAGTACACACTGTTGGTCCCGTGCTGCGTCATGGTGTCACATCACACGCTGTTCTATTTCTCCTCCAAGAAAAATCTCCACCCACTGCCCCCTGAGAGCCATCCGGCTGCGGCCAGATCGATGAAACTCCTCGCCAAGATTCCCAAAGATGCCGAAGCTGTCATTGTTTTAGTTGGTAAGCTCCGCGGGATTTGACCAAACAGATTAGTCAAATGAATAATGTCTATCACGTTTTTAGAAACTACTTCTACTTGTCACAAATTCCCCATTGAACGGAAATGAAATGATTGAATTGCATCAGTACGCACGATAATCATGTCATTTTCAAAGTTCCGTCAGTGGTTTGTAGTGTTACGCGACTCCTGTGGCCCTTCAGGACCTCCACACATCCTCCTGCAAAGCTGAAGGAGGTCTTGTTTTTCTTTAACAGCAGATGAGCACTGAACATGATGTCAGTGCAGAGGAGATTCATGCTGACACATTTTAGAACAAACTGCGTGTTGAATAATAACCGAAGCACAATCACTGATGTGCTTACCAAAAAACATTTAACGATGTGTCGTTGTTGCCTGTCAGGCTCTGTGGACTTCCTGGAGCAGCCCGCCATGGCCTTTGTCCGGCTGAACGAGGCGGTCCTTCTGGAGTCTGTGCTGGAGGTCCCCGTCCCTGTTCGCTTTATTTTCGTCCTGCTTGGTCCAAGTCAGTCCAACTTGGACTATCATGAGATTGGACGCTCCTTCTCCACGCTCATGTCTGACAAGGTAGATGTAAAAGCTGGAAGATGTGAACATCTCTAGTGGCATTTCGAGGTCTTTCATTTTAAAAGGTTTAATCCTTTTGGTTGGGGGAAATGTTTCAGTTCAAGAACTCTTCAAGGAGTAAAAAAGTATTCTAATTTTAGAGGTTCAACATTCGCTCCTACAATAAAACTGTAATAAACTGTGTCGCCAATTTACAGACATTCATACGACAAAAAGGCTGCCATTGTAGCAGATTGAAACCAGACTTCTTGATCCCATGACCATTACAGCCAAAAAGCATGTGTTCTATAAAATTAGGCTTTCAATCTGGAGCCCTGGCTGCAACATTTATACCAGATTGAGACATTTTCTCACGTTCATCCTACCAGCCGAATGAATGCTTGTTCCTGGTTCCAGGTGGGGCTTTTGCTGCTGTATTACACCATCAACATCTGTGTTTCTGCATCATTGGCATATAAAAAAAACTTACGTCACAGTAAAAAATCACAACTCAAATTTAGTAAACAGAAAATAATTTTAATTTAAAAATAAAAGAAGATGACCCGCAGAGCAAATGTTTGTAGGTGGCAATGTTTTCACTACTAGAATGTGGACCCATGGAAAAGCTGCTGTTTATCCCCCTTAAAGTAATGAATGAAACCACCATTTGGATATCTTTCTGTCAAACAAAAATGATGCTGTGGTGACATGTAATTGTATGTTGTTGCAGAACTTCCATGAGGTGGCCTATTTTGCAGATGACAGACAGGACCTCCTGAACGGTATCAATGAATTCTTGGACTGCAGCATCGTCATTCCACCCTCGGACGTGGAGGGTAAAGACCTCCTGAAGACTGTGGCTGACTTCCAGAAGCAGATGCTGCGCAAGAGGAAGGAAAGAGAAGTCAAGAAGCATCACTCCTCGTGTGGAATGGAGCTCAACAACAAAGGTGCTCTGTCAAAAGCTTCTTTTCCAAGCCAAATAACCGTCAATAGTCAATAACTAGGTTAGCATGAGGACGCTCTCCTTCGGTGCAAACACAGATCAGTCTACAAATCAAATGAACACAGAAACTGAGAAAAACTGTTTTCAGTCTTTGGGTAGTTGTAGTATTTCCAAATTCTGCAGAAGTTAAAAGACCATAACTAGTGTAATTACCCCGTCCAATATGATTCATGTACTAAAGCAACCATCTAGCTGTTCAGTTGCATCAGTAATGTACTGCAAGCATTTGATCTATAATTGTGAATAATAACATAACCACTGAGATATATTATAGATTATAGACACAACATTCTCATTCTTCCTGAAGCCTATTTACACTGTCCTGCTACTTTTCTCAAAGTAGCAGGACAGTGTTTGCTTAATTATTGTGATGATGATGATCGGTAGCAGTTCCTTTTGTAACGGAGGCTCAAACAAACCCTCCAGAGGTGATTCCAGAGGAGGAGGAGGAGGGGGACCAGGAGGTGGACCCATTAAAGCGCTCAGGGGTCCCTTTCGGAGGCCTGATCCACGACATCCGCCGCCGTTACCCGCTGTATGTCAGCGACCTGAAGGATGCCGTAGACATGCAGTGCATCGCTGCCGTAATCTTCATCTATTTTGCTGCACTGTCGCCCACTATTACCTTCGGAGGCCTGCTGGGTAAAGTGAAACCAAGAAATATTGATTCCGCATCACTTTGTTACATGTGCTCAAAGGGGTCTGTTGTCTGGCTGATTTCTCATACAGGGGAAAAGACACAGGGTATGATGGGAGTGACTGAGCTCATCGTGTCAACGGCAACTCTTGGCGTCATATTCTCGCTTCTTGGTGGTCAGCCTCTCCTCATCATAGGCTTCTCAGGACCCTTACTGGTGTTTGAAGAAGCCTACTACAAGGTGCGGGGGGGAAAACAACATGTTTTTCTCAGTCATAATTTCCATTTTGTTTTCCCTGAACATGTGACTAACGTGTCTGTCTTTTCACTCAGTTTTGTGAGGCCCAAAACATTGAGTATCTAACCGGTCGTGTGTGGATCGGTTTCTGGCTCATCTTCATCGTGCTGCTGATCGTGGCAGCAGAGGGCAGCTTCCTCGTTCGCTACATCTCACCGTTTACACAGGAGATTTTTGCTTTCCTCATCTCCCTTATCTTCATCTATGAGACTTTCTCAAAACTCTTCAAGGTAACAAAACCAGAAATCATGCAAGTCTTATTAGGTTGACTCCTTTGTTTGTCACATCTGCAAAAATCCAATGCAAACAAACGGCAGAGGATAAACTTAGATTATCTTCTTGTTTTCAGGTCTTTAAGGAGCATCCTCTGCTGGCAATTTATCCCGTTGATTTAACTGGGACTGGGAATCAGGAAGTTGATGCCCCAATCTACAACCAGCCCAACACGGCTCTTCTGTCTCTGGTTCTCATGATAGGCACTTTCTTTGTTGCTTTCTTCCTCAGAAAGTTCCGAAACAGTCGTTTCTTGGGTGGCAAGGTAATCAAACCCAACCCTAACTATGCATGTCAGGATTCTCGTGGGCCTTCAAAGACACAAAGTGATGTTCAAAATATTTAACGTGGAGTACATACATCGGCTGCTCTGTTACATGCAGCGTGCATTGCAAGCGAGCAATTGGGCAGTTTGAGGAAAATAGTGAAGTTCTCACTTCATCACATTTCTCCATGAAAGGAAATGTGTTGGACAGATGCATCTGATGTGTATGTGATAAGATGTGTGCTGGGTTTTGCCTGGATTTGATCGATGTTGGGTTTCTCAATATTCTTAGGCCAGAAGAATCATCGGTGACTTTGGAATCCCCATCTCAATTTTGGTTTCAGTTTTGGTGGATTACTCCGTGTCTGACACTTACACACAGGTAACTTTCATTTAATTACAGCAACAGTTGAAGTGCATCTTCAGTAGATTTCCAACAAATTACAATTTAACTTTTTCTTTGTTGCTTACTTCTAGAAACTCAATGTGCCGTCTGGCTTCTCGGTCACCTCCCCCGATAAGAGAGGCTGGTTGATCAGTCCCTTTGGTGACAAGAAACCTTTCCCCACCTGGATGATGGGCGCATCTGTTGTACCTGCCATTCTTGTCTTCATCCTGATTTTCATGGAAACCCAGATCACTTCGTACGTACAGTATGATCATCCATAGTAGTACTTTCCGGCTGTAGGATCTGTGTAGGAATGTATACTTTTCTTCTTTTTTTTTTTTTTAACTTTCTCCTCCAATCCATCAGGTTAATAGTCTCGAAGAAGGAGCGTCGTCTCGTTAAAGGCTCAGGCTTCCACCTGGACCTTCTTCTCATCGTCATTTTGGGTTCCATCTGTCCTCTTTTTGGCCTGCCATGGCTCACCGCGGCCACCGTGCGCTCCGTCACTCACGTCAACGCCCTCACCGTCATGAGCAAAGCCACGGCGCCGGGTGAAAAGCCCGTGATCCAGGAGGTGAAAGAACAGAGGATGACCGGCCTTCTCGTGGCCGTCCTTGTCGGTGAGAGGAAAGGGGAGAGTGGGAGTGTGGGATGCTGATTTTTTTCCTGAGTTTTCAGAATCTTGTTTGTTTTGGTAATACTCATTTTAGCCACAAGAGGTCAAAGTGCATGTCCACCATATTTTAAATTCCACATTAGACACGCTGTCTGCACCTTTTAGAATGCTTGGATAAGTAGCAGTGCACTTTAGATTCCTGTGGTTGACATGTTTAATACAACTACAAACACAGAAAAACAATGACCCTGCCAAAAATGTTTCATCACCTGCCAAGAAAGAAATGTCGCTTTTAACTTTTAACTAAAGTTCAGAGGTACCGTAATTAGCTCCACGCCGTAGTTCTAGACACAAACTAGTGAGAATGCTTACTGTGACAAGCCTACTCTGCTATTGTTAATGTAGACGCTTGTACAGTTCCAGCGTTAGCAGTAGCTTGTACTTATTGTAAGTCCTTTTGGATAGCATCAGCTAAATGTAAAAATGTAAAACATTTCAAATGAACACAGTGGAGTTAAAAGGTCCCCGTAATCACTGTTATTTTCCAACATGCTATTCTGAAAAACTCGAAAGGCAAAGGAGCAGATGTAACCAAAGATGATTGGGTTAGCAAACGGGTAATTGGTTGTTGGAATGCTCCCCTCGAGTACCATATCACATTTATTATTATTATACATTTAAAACTTGTTAAGTTAATTATGAAAGTCTTTTATTAAAAAGAAATTAGCTCTCTCATTAAGTGTCGATAAAAACATTTGTTTATCCACCCACAACCTGCTGGCGGAATCTGAACTAGTGACCACTTGCAGAGAAATTATTTTCGTTTTATTTTTTCCTTTGATGTTTTTTTTCACATCATTATTACAGAACTGGAATCTCCGGTCAATTATTTGTCTCAAAAGGAAACATAAGCTCAAGAGATACAGAGGGCCACTTACCTAGACATTCACAAAGTACAGTATGTACCACGATTTGACATCTGTTTACAAATTGTCCTCAAAATGAACCGAAACATACATTTTTCAAATGGAAATGCAAAGCTCACAATGGAGACTGATCTAGAAAAATTGTTCTCATCCGATAGTTAGCAGTACTTCTCCAGCAGGATATCTCGTTTTAAGGCAGGGTTCCCAAAGTAGTCCTGCGCATTAATTCTTCCAGTTCCAGATCCCGTCTAGAACCATAATCACTCATCATAGTTGAGCCTTTGTTTGATTGAAATGCTGCTTGAGATTTGGAATAAGACTTTTTGGATTAGCCAAAAGCGCTTCAACCGAGGGAGCTTAACCGTGAATGTGTTTTGAATCAGCAGCGCTGACAGCCTGTTTGTCATGAGGGCTGCTCTCCTGTTGAATGAATAATTCTCTCCACCGTTGCAAATTATTTTTCACTTGTGTTTCAAAGAACCTTAAGACTCTTGTTTGAAACATCAACACTGAAGCCATTTCCACCCGTCAGGTATGTCCATCGTGATGACGGACGTGCTCCGCCTCATCCCTCTGGCTGTGCTCTTTGGCATCTTCCTGTACATGGGGGTCACCTCCCTGACGGGCATCCAACTGTATGAACGCATGACCCTCATGGTCACGCCCGCCAAGCACCACCCTGACCACATATACGTAACCAAGGTAACCCACGCAATACCCATGTTGTCCAGTGCCCCCCGTCTTCTGCTATTAGTGGTAATGTGGAGAAGCCAAACCCGTCAGCCGAGTGGAGGCAGACGTGATTCTGTCCTCTGGGTTTTCAAGAGCCGCGTTGATAGAGAGACCTGATCATTCAGCGTCCTTTGACAGCTACGCCGCATTTGGACTCTGCCACATCCAGCAAATCTTTCATTTCTTTTAACCAACAGAGAGTTACAGGCAGAGGAGGGATTTCATCTACTTCCAAGATGCATGGAGAAGGGAAAATGTTGCTGGATTTTTGACTCCAAACAGAATTACCTCAACAGTTGAGGATAAACACAGTTGGGTTTCTGGCTGCGAGCATCACACCGTTGGATTCAGCTTCTCCATCTGACCATCCGTAATGGAAGAATGCAATTATTATGTCTACCGCTTTACTACCCTCAGATGGTAACAGTGATGTCAGTGTTTTTATCGTCTTTACCATTGAGACAATTTCAGGACGAACCTGCACACATAGCAGAGATGCCCAGCAGAGAGTCCTTTAGCTACTAGTCTGAGAAAGACCTTTACCACCAAGAGACTCGACGGCATTACGAAAGACACAATGGCACAAAGACACACAAATCAACTACACAGACACCAATTAGCAGCAAGATGAACATGTCTACAAATGGATAGAAGGCAGCTATAAGGAACTCCACAATGAGTACATGGTCCACAAAAAAGCTCAGCATGACTGCAAAGGTCTACAATGACCACAAACCAACCGCAAAGACACAACATTACCACAACTAGAGCCCATTGTGCAGGTAATCTTTGAGGGTTTACTCACCGTTTAAGACAGCAGTTGAATTCCCAAGAGAAGTACACTTCTTTCTGTTCCTTCCTTCACTTTATAGAGGCAATTACAAGATTCTCAATCCTCACATGCTTCCAATACAAGTGATTGTGGCAATATCTGCTGTTCCTGCTCTGTGGAAAAATGAATTTTAATGTTTATTGGAGGGTAATAGGATAATTATTTTGGTTATAAAATGCCTACGTTGTATTTCCACAGCCACAAATGTCCTTGTTGAGATGCAGTGGAGAGAAATAGAAATAGAAACAGTGCAACTTTACCCATTTGGCTTGTCAGTCTCAATTTGCCTCGTATTAACTTCAGATAATTTTTTTTTTACAGAATAGGAACAGTACATTTTGCCTGCCATCACTTTTATTAGTATAACCTTTATGCCAAGGTGAGGGCGGGTAAAAATGCACGGAAACCCTCATGCAGACTACATTTTTATTTTGTGGCAGTGATGTATGGTATGAAACCCTAACGCTCACATATGTGTTCAAGCGTTGGTGCTTTACCTCTTTAAGTGTTACTTTACAATTGCAATCCCATAAAAGTGTGTGACACGCTTTAAGGTACTTTAGGTATAATATCAACAGATCTTGTTTTGTGCATTCACACTAAATTAATGACTTGATTCAATACCAAATAAATGCTGTGTTACTACAATTCCACATGAAAAGAAACATTTGGTCTGTGGCGATGAAAGTTTACTAAGAAATCCATGCTAATGATGACGCATGCCTCTACCGACATAGTTTTTCCTCGACAATACCACTATTGCCATCAAAATTATGGATTTTGGTCCGGATTTTACTTGAAAACCAAATTTGGTGACATTTGAAAAACAGGAAACGTTTTAACAGAAACTTCGGGTTCACATTTCAGACAACCATTTAAATGCATGATTGTCCACCAGATGGAGCCCAAAACCTAAGATAGTCTTAAAGCAAGGGACTAGTTTGGGATGCAGTGTGCCTGCCGGGCATCTCTCTGTGCACGACTCCACACTAGTCCGTTTGTCCTCTACCCCTTTAACCTCCAGGTGAAGACATGGCGGATGAACATGTTCACCATAATCCAGCTGGCATGCATCGTGGCTCTGTGGGTGGTGAAGTCTACGGAAGCCTCCCTGGCGTTCCCCTTTGTCCTCATCATGACGGTGCCGCTTCGACGCCTCATCCTCTCCAGGATTTTCGAGGAACGCGAGCTGCAGGCGGTAGGTTGTGTAGCAGAGACACCTCAGGAATGTTTGAATCTTTGCCACCATAATCGGAGCCCACATAGCCGCAGGATACTTATTTTACAGAGAATTCAATACATGGATGTTTTAAAATCTATTAAATGAAGTCAAACAAAGAAACCACAAATTATTTTCTCCTTTATTATCACGGACAGCTTTCTCCTGCAAATATTTTCAGATGAAATGCCACAAAAAGATTCACAGTCTAACCTAAAGCCGGGCTCCGTGTTTTCTTGGTTTCATTCCCTCAACCCGTACATGTCAACACTGTCAGATTAAAGCCTTCCATTTCCAACATGTGGACTTTTTAAGTTTATACAGTTTTGTTCTTAACGTGACCACCATCCGTGTTGTGTTCATCCAAAGGTCAAATAAAACCCAATGCACAGTAGAATCAAACTATGGAGGAGCTTGGAAATAATTTAAAGCTTAAAAAGTACCACAATTAGACGTACAGACCTTTTAGATACATAGTTTATTTTTAGTTTCACTTCATTTCCTTTTTAAGGTGACCTTTTTACAAACAATTTGGTCAGAGCCAGGCTAGTCGTCCACTTCTTTTTATGCTAAGCTAGGTTAGCCGCTTGCTAGCTGCAGCTTCATATTTCTGTTGTGTATCAATCTTTTCATCATATATTTTCATCAAAAATGTTCTAAAATGTTTTATTTCAAGCCATTTTGTCTGAAAGCAGCCCAAGATTCGCCATTCACATGGTTTCAGGCCAATGGTTGAATACACAGCTAGACAACAAGACCAGTTTGTTTGAACAATAACCAAAGAAAAAAACAAAGTACCCTGATTTAAGCTTCTGAACAGGCCATGAATGAAAATGATGAAGAGTATTCTTCTTTCTCACAGCTGGATTGTGACGAGGATTCTCCCAACTTCGATGAAGATGGACGAGACGAGTACAACGAGATTCACATGCTTGTGTGAATATGAAATTGGACCAGCTCTGACCAATCAGATCAAGCCTCTCTGGGAACCTCAGTGTCTGCGTAGTGGTGACAAAGCCAGATGGTGTTTGTAAAATATACAAAAGCTACAGCTGGGTGTTTGTCTCTTACCTTGTCCTTTCTAAAAGAGCGCACATAATGTTAGATCTGCGTGCTTGTGGTGGTGGAACAGTGCAAGTTTAGCAAAGAAATGTAACTTACATCAAAACTTTTCATCCTGTCGATCCCTTTAATTACTCTGCAGGTTATGGGAATAAGTGCAATGAGGATGAAGATGTTGGGCTAAAACAGACTGGATCACTTCAACTTGCTTTTGTGCAGAAAGCGAGAGAAAGGCTTCATTTGCTTTTATTTCATTACCATCCAGGCTGCGGATTTTCATCAAAATGCGTAAAGATGTTCTGAAACTAAATCTCTGAGCCGTGAATTCCACAGCCTGTGTAGTTTAGCTGCCTCTTCCCTTTATACTACTGCCATTGCCTATAGGTTGCAATGATGTGCAAACAAAAAGTTAAGTAGTCCTTTCCCTTTTTGTACAGACCTTCAGTAATGAGCACTTTGAGTAAAAGTTCACTCTAGTTGTTGCCAACTGAGCTCCTCCTCTCTAAATGTAGTCTTCCCTTGAAGCCAGATTCTCCACAGAGACTGTGCAAGCCTCTTCAAGGGGTGTTTCTGTACATTGTTAGGTGTTTTATGCTCAACATACCGGTCCACTGACCTCTTTACGGTGACCTTGGATGTATAAGTAAATAGATAAAATGATCTCAACCTTATTTTTCTACTCTGTAGTATTTATTTTGTGACCTTTGTACTTATTGCCATGCCAGATTCCCAGTGATGTTTAGACTTCCAATAGCTCAAAAATGCTATAAGAATTATTATAATATTTTAAGTAGAGTGAGAGACACTTTCAGCCATTATTCTTTCGTCTTCTCAGTAATATTTCCACTTCGCTGTGCATTTTTTAGGGACGTCATGAATAATATAGTAAGAGACTTGGCTGGAACGGCATACAGACTGAGCTTTAGTGTTGGGAGGACATATGAGTAATGCATAGCACAGTAAGATCGTGAGTCTGGAACCCCGATGTACCGTCTGTGGTTCTTTTGAAAAACCAGGAGATTTACTTTTCACCTCCCACACAGTGAGCCCACCATAGAGATCAAATGACCATTCAGTCCTGAGACACAATCACAGACCTTACACTGCCGCACAGGAACACCAGCTGTAGAGAACTAAAATAAGTCGTCATGAGAGACTTAACAAGTCGCGGACAGATTTGTGTGACGTTCTTATTTATGAAGATGCGGAAGACATTTATGTGATTTTGGCTTAAGGGCCAGGGAGTTAGACTCCACTCAGCAACTTTCCAGTCCAAATATTTCATTTCAAAGCATTCTACTTATGGTGTATTAGGTGTTAGACGGTAATCACAAGGAGGCTTTTGCACACTGTCACTACTTTCTGAGTTCAATATTTTGTGTATAAATATGTGATTTTCTTACAGTATGCACGCCCCTTCTAGCTTCTAACCCTGCAGCTTTCATATTTCTGCTTTTTCACCTCTACATTGTATCAGCTTCAATAGTAAATTCATTTTAGGTAGAATCAGGAAAAAGACAATGTGTGGCAGCTGAAGAATAGAAAACAAAAACATGTTTTTTTTGTTTTTACCGGATAATTATTATTACTTTTGCATGTATACAATCACCTACTGAAAACTCTAAAGTGCTTAAAAGTGAAGCACACTTTCATTCATACCTTCTAAAAGTTCAAGGTCATCTGAGTAATATAGTAGTTTAGTTTTTTTTGTACGTAACCAGATTAGTATTTTTTGATTTGATTCATTTCTTGATTTAAAACGTCCTACATTGTGAGCCATACAAGAATCTGTCTCAGGGGAAACTGACCTTCGATCTGTAAATATTGCTTCCGAGCCTTTAGTTTGTTGTCTTTTGTGTGTACATAGAGCGGTCTAGGCCATCCGTCACTTGCGATGTAAAATTACAGGCTTTTTGTGTTATACATTGGATAAAATCAAGAGAATAATGTGTATACTTCAGCAATGTGGCATGGAATTATGCAGAAAATGAATCCTGTGTTGTTCATGTGAAGCATACACCTGCTGTGGTCTTAATTCTGCAGCTGCCCTAGTTAATGAATGACAGGATGTGGTTTAGGACGCTTTAGGAGAGTTATTTAAAATACGCTTTATGGATCTTTCCACCACGTGTTATATTAAAGAGTTTACAAAGACTAGAAGAGCAAACTGAGAGCAAAAAACGTACAATACGTTTACTCCATTATACTCGGCCCCACTGACGTTATTGAATGTAAATGTTTGGCATCTTTAGGCAAATGACCGATGTGTGTCAGATTGAGCTTATTCCAGTATGCGTAGGTCCAACAACAGCTACTGAGGGAAGGAAGAAGACATTAGCAGTTGAGCACACAGGAGATGTTGTGTGCCAGATACCAGCAAGGCACACTGAGGCAAAATTACATTTAGCAAACTTAAAATAATTTAAGAAAACAATCCCCCTATATTCAATCTATGGTTTTATCTCTACCTTATTTTGTATTGTTTGTCAAACAATCATTTTAACAGAGATTCATACATTCTTTTCCAAAAGCGCTTTCCCCGTTGTTACATTTGAATGCACATTACCACCATACTCCATTTTTCAATAAAAAATTGAAAAATGTGATACAGTTGGCATGTCTCACTTCACACTCCCGAAAGGCAAACGGAAAAAGACGCACACATTTAAAAGCATTGCTTCCTCCCCAGCGCTACCAGTGGGGGAAAAATGGTTCCTTTAAGGCCACATTATTTAAATGTCTTATAACCAAAACACCATATATTTATTTTTCTTGATGTGTATTTTATTACAATCACACAAGATGCAATGTTATGACAAACTAGTATGTACCGATTGAATGCAGCAGTGCATATTTTGTACAGGCAGATGCAGTATTTATACGAGATTGTAAAGATAAATGTGACTTTTTATTGAATGATGAACTGTAGCCACGTTTCCAAATTCCTTGAACAAAATGCAGAGGACATGAACTGCGTGTATGGAAGCTGCAGCCCAGTTAGCTGGCAGCGCGGCTTCCTCTTCACTCCATCTCAGAAGTCAAGCTCTGTGTTTTGGCTCTTTTATCCCCCTTTTGATGTCGACTCCAGCTGAAAGCAGAACAGGCCAACATAATTGACCTGGAGTATCATCTGTTAAGAAGATTTTAATTGTGACCGTAATAGCTGGACTTGTCTATTTCTTGTTAAAGACCGTTGGCCAACGTGTATTGGCAAGCAGTTTGATATAGTCAAGGCTTCAGGCTGCTGAAACTAGCTGAGTTGTGTTATTGATTGACTGCCATATGTGACCAGAACAGGCTAGTATTCACACAAAAGTGCAAAACAATCTGGATCTGGATCTGTTTGAATCTGCCTCTGACTTTTGTCCCACGTAGGTGGTATCGGCCATTTGAGTCCAGTGGAACTCTGTTATTAGGTGAGCTTTTTGAAGAGTCATTGTCCTTAGTTGTCTGACGATACAGAACTGCTGGGCTGCTGCAGGCGTCCACGTGCTCTTGCAGAACCGGTGTGTCTGACACAGCCAGTGAACTATTCTTAGCAAAACATCCTCTCGTTGTTTAGACAAAATGAAAAAGGGGAATTGTGGGTATTTTTAAAGGTAACGAAAAAGCGTGGTGCTGCCACTCTCTCCCGTCTGGGTGCTAGATGTCGAAAACACGCAGAAAGGAAAAGACAAAACTTTTTTTTGACACTCAAAAAGTTCTGCCATGTCAATGTTCTGAGTTCACCACATTTAGTTGCCTTATACCACCGTGGTAGCACGGCAGACCACCCACCCAAATCTAAGACCTGGCCCTGTTATTTATAAACCTCTTTTAATTCCAACAGCTTTGGTTCGAGTAAAGGCGTCTGTCAATCTTGGATTTCTATCATATGGAATAGTGTGTTAGTTTTAACCATTTTAGCTATAAATCTAATATCTGTGCAACTTGATCCACTCTAATATGTAAGGTTGTTCACAGTGGCATACGACACAGTTCATACTGCAGGAATGCCATTCATTTTTCTTTAATTGCACTGCATACCAAGGGATTAGTTACTTTTGCAGGTTTAGTTTTCAATTTTGTTTGTTATGTTTTGTTGATGTTGTGGGTTATGAATTAAATTCTAATCCTTGTGTACTCTTTTTTTTTTTTTTTTTTTTTTTTTTTTTTTTATTATTCAGTGGAATGCGCTCTTTGACTTGAAGGTTAAACTAGACGGTTTTATTTCACTGTTGTGTCATGTTTGTTCATTTAGGAACACATACGATTTTTACAACCAATTAAAGCCATATTGAATAAGAGCTGCAATTTCCCAAACCTTAAAAGCACAGAGAGCAACACGGCCATTCCATTGGTTTGTTACATGCACAACTATTGGATGCCTTCTTGTTTACTTCATGGTTCTGCCGGGCTGTGCAGACGGAGTGCACTCAAAAATCAATTTTACATTTTCAGTGAGATTGACGCTAGGATTGATTTCAAGTTTTCAGAAAGGTGATTGTAGGTTATTTTGAAAGCATCGCTAACTGGAGCTTTGCATTGTTTTGATGACCCACAGCTCTAGACAATAAATCTTGGTGTATACCCGTCTGTAAAATGCAGTATGTTTGCGTTTGTAACACAGGATGAAACCTGGTATGTGTGGCTACTTAAATACAAGGTCCATCTCTCTATACAACGAGGTGTTCAATCAACTGTAAAACATTATTTTTTCTCTGGAATAAAAGTTTATTGTGTTTCAAATAAAACTTTTTTTGGTCAGCGTGAAAAAAAAATGATATCTGCAATACAGATTAGTGAAGTATAAAGTTGGTGTCAAACAGTGAATGTCAAACATCACGGTTTCCTTTTCCTCTGCTCACTGAAGGAGCCAGATGGGTGGACTCGAACATCCATGAAAGAATAATCAGTTACAGAAAGTTCAGACATTCACAGTATGTGGTAGTAAGTTGTACGTTATGTTCTATGTTATATTTCCAGGCACAGTGTCTGTGACACCGGTCATTTTTAATGACTAAAGACACAAACGGCCCAACTCGTCCCAAGCAAAGGTTTGATCACAACCTCTTTTGAGCAGGTTAGTAGATGGAGTTCAATACATGAATGTTAATTCAAAAAACTACTTGGTTAAGTTTAGAAATAAATCATATTTTAACATGTTGTTACATACTGTTTGTAGAATTTCTTTAGAGCGTCCTAGAGTCTGTGACCTCCCAGCAGAGACACCTTGATAAGTTACTGGTGTGTGTGTGTGTTACCTCAACTATAGAGATGCAGACGTTGGAGAAGTCGATGCAAAAGTCTTGTGTGTGTATGTCATGAATTCTGTGCCTAAGATGCCTTGTGGCATAACTTGTGTGTGAGTCATCTTAACTATACAATTCAGAGGATGGGATGCAGACCTCGAAGCAGCAACTTGACGCATGACATGTATGTGTTTCATCTCTGCTACCACTCGCAAGTAATACTTGATACTAAATGTCCTGTAAAAACAAAATAGGGAGTGTGCTCATGAGAAGTAGGCCTATAACAATCACTTTCAACCAATACATTTATGACACCCATCCATCCATCAATCAATCCACAACGTTTGATTTAAAGGTGTATTTCGACCCCATCCTCCCAATGCTCTTCATACTGTGGGAACTCTTTTCATTGTTACTACAGCCAGTAGAGGCAACCCTGCACATGCAACGCCGCCGCGGTGAAAGTTTTAATGACCCACTGTCAAAATGGCCACGACTCTGAGAATAAGTTACATGGAGAAAAATACTGTTTGTTCCTTTTGTCAGCTCAGAACATCAGAGACTGAGAGCGCCTTGTGCGTTGGAGGTAGTGAGATTAGCACAGAGAACTGGTAGGAGGAGTGTGGCAATGATAACCGGTGCAATCAATAGAATGAGAGTGGTGAGCGGGGGGTCTTGGACCTGACCACACAGTCTAAAGTAAGTCTTGTGGACCTCCAAAAAGACTGCGTCTTTCAGAAATCCGTGACCCTTACACCAAAACACAAGTGCAGAGTCGTCCACGCACCTCTTCAGTTTGTTGTAGATGCTGCAAGGAAGGACAGCAGAGCACAGTTAAGATGGTTTACAATGGTCGTATCAGGTACAATAGTATCATGGAAATGAAAGTTGAGGTTTATCTTTCAAGCCTGAATACAGTTCATTTTACATAGAAATTAATAGAACCCTATTTCTTCAAGGTAAAAAAAGAGTATTTCCAGCCATAGTTCCCGAATTGTGTGATGTGCCCCGCCAGTTTTTGAAAGTAGTTGCTAATATGATTTGAAGTTAATCTGCTGGCGAGGTACTTTAATATTCAAACTCAATATTTTAATATAATGCAAAAGTCAGCCAAAAACATCTTACTTTGGCAACTGGAAAACGTTTTAACAAATGGAGAAATGACCCAGTGGTGTTGGGAGGCAGCTTACATTTCATCGTAAAGTTTTGATGTGTCATGTCCTCTGGGTGGAGAAGCGTCCATAGCTTCAGGAAAGCCACATCGATTGTGCGAGCGGTTTTCAATGTTTGATTTTTTTTGTGTGGAAAACCTCTGGATTTGATTGAGCTTGACAGCCTGAGGACTTATCAACAAGCCGGGTTCCTTGTGTTAACGGACACTCCACCCTAACGCACCATTTGAACTGTATTGGAGCTCGGCCTCCAACAGTATTAAAAGTAAGATATGGATTATTACAGCTGTAATTAAAGTCAAACGAAAGGCTCCACAAACAACTGCTGTCTGGAAACATGAGCTCGGTAGTCTAGCGCTTATTGATTAAAAGTTAGAAGAGTAAATAGATGTTACTTTGCCCACCATCAAAATGTAGCCAATAAACCGGAAAGTAACTGACTTTGCCATGACTAGTGGTCTTAGGCCTTAAAACAATGACATAATGTGCCTGTGAAGGAACCTGACATTTGTTAAATGATAACAAAATTGTACACCAATGAAACGTACCCTTTTTCAGTAGGCCACGGGCAATTGTCCCGATAGCCGCTTGTCTCCATGCTCGTGTTAAAGTCTGACAGGCATTGGTGAACTCCACTGTGGAACATGTGCTGGTCACACGGTGGAACGACAAATTTTGCAGCTATTCCTGGAAAAAACAGACACTTACATGATTGTGAGTGACGCTCCAAATTCTCTATATAGCTAAAGTCAATTGGATAAGATGATAGACGCAGTATATGCATGCGTCCACCACTCCAGGAACCTGGAATATCCTGCACGAACCAACTATTCTTAAACAGACAAGTCAACCAACAACAGTAACATATTCAAGCTCTTTCAGCCTTTGTCCTGAAAACAAATGTTAAAATCTTAAGTTCAAGTTTTGGTCTTGAAACACAACAATGTATTAAAAAATATGTAGAGGTGTACAAAAAGTATTTTTGGAGTTGAATATATAAATTCAACCCAAAAATACTTTAAATGAGATGGCTCTGAGCATCAGAGAAAGTAAGAGAAAGTAATCGAGTTGGAAAAACTTAGTGATGGATTCAACTTCAAACCCACCTGATGATTTTTAATAATATTCTTTTTAATAATGTCGTTCTGCTGACAAGCTACGTATCTATAGTAGGTATTTGGGAATTATTGCTTACCTGTCCATATGAAGATAACTACCAACAAGCAAGCAGTCGACACCATCTGTTAAAAAAAAATGATGTAGTTCACCCAAGTTGCGTCATTTTTTTAGGGATAGGGTTACATTTTTTTAATGAATACAGATGTGATATCTGTGTTTGGGTGGAGGAAATTACCTCTAAATCCTATATACATTTTCCAAATTTGTGTGATAATTACAGGTCCATATGGAAAACAACAAGTACATTTCCTCTCTTATCTTTGATTTACTGAGGAAATAATATATATCAGGGAGTGAAGGAATTTTAAAAAAAAGCATGTTTAAAATCCCCAAAGTCCAATTCAACGACAAAAAGAAAGATGAAACTGCTCTACAAGCACATACCCCAGACGTTACTTTGCTGTTTGAAGCAATAATTGTTTCCTGGTGGATCCCCGGTAAAAAGGTTTGATTAGAACCTGTGCTGAGGATGATTCCAATGGTTTAGCAGGCAGCTAACAGACGCACAACTGGTCGCAAAAAACCCTTTGTGGTATCTGCTCCGGTTTCATCTGGTCCAGTTTTCTTATCGGTAAAACTCATGGGATTGAGTGACAGCACTGAACAGCTTGCTTCCTTTCCCAGACCGAGCGGTCTGTTCCCATGCTACCCAAAGACAAGTTCCTCATAAAGCCTCCCCAGAGACACTTAGAGGCCTCACTGTCAACAGTCATGCATGGTAGCATCTCAAGGAGACATTTAATGGCCATGTTTATGTTTCAAGTGTAGTCCCGTTCCTATTTAAGGTCAAGTGGGCTCTGCAGTCAGGGGGTGGACAGTATTATGCGATTCCAGCAGGCACTGAGCAAAATATATGGGGATACCTTGAACGAGTTCTCCAGGCTGTTATTGCAGGCCTCAGAATGAGACACAAGAAGTCAAACGTTCACAAGCCGAGGACAGTTGACAGTTTCCATCTCAGCAGAGCCTCCTGTCTGTGGACTCTGAGAGGCGGCCAAAGCTCCTGGATGGAACACGCAGACCTCTGGCTGTTCCATCCAGCGTCAGCACATTCACTGATGGTTAGATAAATCTCACATGTGAACATCACGTCCTCAGCGCCCGTCTTAGCCTTAAGTTTGCATGAATCTTAATTAAGTGAGAATCCATTCAGCCGTGCAGAATGCAGCTGAAAAAAAACTGGGAACAAACCAAATTTGATTTTTTTGTCAATGTTGCTGAATATGTTTTTCATTGAGTTTTATAATTGAACGCACAAAGAGAACCCCTTTCTTGTACTTGTGCAAAAACCTTATTGAATATTATTCCGAGAGCCTTTTTTCATAATCCTACAACCTCATCAATCCCTCGCTTCGAGTTGGGTATCAGAGACCACCGAGAAATACAAACTTCCTTTTCGGTCCTCTCCTTTGAATTACACCCATGACTGAGGGTAAGTGACAGACTGTGGAAAATGTGACCACCTTTCTTCGGTATTCCATCGGTCTCGCCTAAATGAATCTTTGAAAGATGGATCTTTCAGGAGCCCAGTTAAAATGTCTCTCATCACTACACTATCAGGTTGTTCCGCTCAAGTGCAAAATTAAACGTTTCAACGTTGTTCAGCTATTTCCCACTCATTTAGAGTTGCTAAGCGATGGGTACACATAGTACAATCATAACGTCTTTGTGAATGGAGAAATGCTGAGTGGTCGTCGGAAAATATTTTCCTAAATTTAAGGCAGTGACAGAGCAAACAGATTCCATAGCGGATAGATGTGGCTTGGTAAATGCTCTGTTCCTGTGAAAGGCGATGCACATGCTGTTTGCACAGTGTCTGTTTTTTAATGTCATGGAAAACATTTGATCAGGCAGGAACATTAAGCGAAGAAGAAATACGCCACGTACTGTAGCTGGCTACGTGCCTTGGAAATTTTGTGAGGAACATCAATTGTTTTGGTGTGCAAAAACTACTTGAAGGCTGAAAGAGATTCTGGTATTCTGAAAGGAAATCTGATGATCACTTATGACCCATTGATGTCTGTGGCGGTGTGTGACTCTGACGAGACCTTGTCTGTATTTTTTCTTTTGTTTAGAAAGTTTTTTGGCTTCAACGTTGATACAAATGTGGAAACAGAGAGCCAAATTTTGTAGGGAAGAAAATAGCAGACACAGTGAAAGCCAAGATAGAAAAGTCAATCAAAAATTAACAGTTTCAATATTTCCTTCACAAACTGCATTTTAATTGAGGATTATGCATTAAGATGATTAGTGCAGATAGACATTTATTGTCCTTTTTTTTATTTTTTATAAAGGTACTAAAATTGATTTGATTTAGCCATAATTCAAGGTCTTGTCTAGATAGAATCACATGATTCTTAAACCTTTGTGACAAGCCAAGAAAGTAGCATTCCCCAACCATTAGTGAAGTAGTAGTGTAAAGGCTTGATAATGTAAGGCCAGTTGTTTACTGGAACAAGTGTATTCCATCGCCATGCAGCTGTAAACTTGGGGAGGAAATTGTAATTTTCCATAAATGTCAGCATATTGGAATTGTATGTGTATGGAAAATATCTGGAAATTTGAACTATAGAGTAGTGTTGTTTACAGGACATGCGTACCAAAAAACAATGAAGCCTGTTCATCGACAAGATTTTTTACATTTTTCCAAGCAAAGTGAAGATATGTGACCTCGACGGACGTAACTTCAGATTCTCCCACTGCTAAATTGAGGCGTGTAACAATATGAGCTCCACTGACTTCCCTTTGGGACTGCAAGGCCAGAAACCACAGTGGCCTTCATGGGGTCACTGAAAGATGGGAAAATATCTTCCTTGAGAAGTGAGAGAGAGGTTTCCTGCTAAAACACAGTCTCCAAGAGGTGGAGCACTTTATTAGATGACTGTGTTACTTCAATGGTACGTCACATTCTTCTTCATCATTCGTGCTCTTCTACTCCTCGATTAGTTTAACCTAATTCCTACATTTTATGTTCATGTGTATGTTACCATATAGGTTGGATTCTTTTGTAGTAGATCATGGGTCATTTTTCTTTCACAATATGTTGGATGTGGCCAATTTAAAACATCCAAAATTTACATTTAGTTGCGACTTTGCAATTTTGCCAACATTTTCTCAGAGCAATGACTCAAATACCATTGCATGGTCATTGGCCTCACACTGAGAAGCTCTCCTTAGCATCAATGAATGGTTTAGTCAACCGGTGTTAAATGACAAACGTCTCATTGGAACTCACTTAGGTTTAATAAAAAGAGCATCTATTAAGCAAATAGTTAGTCTTACGATTGATACGAACCTCTTAGTATATGTTAGTGAAGCTTTAGGGATCGTTCCTTTAAAACACTTACCTAAGGTGATCTATGAGTGATGTATAATCCATGTTGTAGCCCTGACAAAGTACAGATGGGAGAGTGTTGGTTTCCAAAGCCCTCACTGAAGAGGAAGTCATGAGTTGGAGAGCCAAGAAGAAGAAGAAGGATGAGCTGCTAATCCTTCTCAAGACTGTGTGCCAGACACCGGGCAGGTTTTCAAATCCAAAACAGATCAGCTGTTTTTCCGTAAAGAAAAGAGAGAAAAAGGCCCATAGTGCTAAACACAAAGTTGAGTTTTCTCTCATGTGGCAAAACAGCTGATAAGCGTTCAAAAGCATACGTTTTTTAGCCCGAGACACTTGGACGTGAGCTTCTATACCGAGTTACAAGCATGTAGGTGTCAACATGTAGATTGCTGGACTATGCTGCCAAAACACAGGGGGGGAGCGGAAAAACCAAATATTTTCTGGGAAAGTCATCAAATTTTGTTACAGGAATAACATCATCATCCAACGTGGGAACATAACCTGCCCGGTTGCTTGTCAATGCTGGGAAAGAATTATTCTTCGCTACAATTTTTTGACCTACCAAACTAACCAAAACCAGTCATGAAGATTTAGAATTTTGGGGATTTTCTCCCCCTTGCACAGGGTCCTATCTGCTGTAATACGACAGCAGATAGGACCCTGTCAGTAGCATCACAATGTTTACACAACCACAGTTGACTTTTGGGCCACTGAGGTGGACACTTTTACCTTCCAAGAGTCATTTTGACTTCCAGTGGTCTCTAATTAACCTTGAAAAGGATACAGAATGTCCATTTATTTCACTTCCGGGTTGCTCTTTGCATACTTTGCATTACCTGGAATCTTACTTGGGAACTTGGCCTTCCGGTGCCCAAGTTGTACCGCGGAGCGTCAAGCCGCATGTCCAACAGTCACTCCGGCGTGTCCAGAAATGGTGAGGGAGCCGGGCTGTGGCTGCTGTCCCGTGTGTGCCCGGCTGGAAGGGGAGCTCTGTGGTGTCTACACGCCGAGGTGCTCCGGTGCCCTGAGGTGCTACCCCAGCACGGACTCTGAATTACCTTTGCAGCAGCTCATCCACGGTTTAGGACGATGTGGACAACAGGTGGACTTGGATGTGACGACAAGTCCGGACCAGCAGGCTACAAATGGTAAGTTCTGGGAGGGAAGATGGGAGCTGGAATGTAACCGAAGTGTGCGTCATCTACTGCAATTTAATAAATTACAAAAGTGTAAAAGCTGATAAAGTCACATTAAATGTTCTACAGACTCTACAGCTTAGCTTCACCAAGCATTGGAGCCTCTTTCAGGTCATTGTTTGTGTTCCACAGCCTAACTATGAATGTTTCTGATCACTTTGGCATTGTTTCACTCAGTGACAAGCTCTTTTCAGCCAAAAACCGCTATCTGTAAGCTATCTGTATGCTGCTGCTACAAGCTAGCAGCAGATCGGTTAACATAATGGTGATATGGAGACATGTAGGCAGATATATCCTTTAGATATCCTTTTTTTTTTTTTAATCAAACAAAGAGGGAATTTGAATGTTGTGAAAAAATAGAAGTAAATAAAAGCTTACATTATAAATAAACCACACAAAAAAGTTAAATAATAGCCTTTGAATATGGAATGTTTAGGGCTTTTATTATGAAGGGTAAGACTGGGTGGAGTTCATCTTGTCGGTGTGGGTGCATCTCAAAGCGTTCCTACAACCTGATTGGTTGACGCCTCCTTTTGCGGCGCAAAAGCCTTGCCAGAAACACATTATTCTTGCTGCGTAATATTCCGTTGAGTAAGTACCTGTAGGGCTACAACTCCCTAAAACAGAACATGTTCTTCTTTCCATTTGTATTTTCTTTTGGGAAATAATAACAACAATACCACATAGTTCCATTAAGACATCTTTTAATCACTCTTTACATTATACGGGTTGTAAATTTTAATATCTACTACTACACTGTAACAAATTGCTGTAAATTTACGGTGCATTTCTAACGGTATCTTACAGTATGTCATAATAACTGTAACATTCAGTTAAATTTCCATACCTTGCTTGTAAATTAACGGCCAATGTCATGAATAAACAATTAAAGCTGTCAATTTACAATAATAGCAGACTACCATAATTCAACTGCATGTTACATATATTTTATGAAGTGGTGGAAATACACATACAAGTGCAGTGAATCACAATCCATCTAAATCTGTTGTAGGTTAATGTATGGAAGCCCATGTCAGCCACTAAAAAACATGTCCTGTAAGTCATCATAATGAGATAGTATCTCATGAGATACAATTATGACTTTGACTTACAGGACTTACTTTACATGCAGCTGTCACTTTTATCCAAAACTCCCATGGTTTGACATAATTTTATGTGGAGTATTTGGGGGTTAGGTGTCTTGCTCTTGGACACTTCGACTTGGCATAGGGAGGACCCAGGATTCAAACCACCGACCTTGCGCTTCACAGCACACCCTCCCTATCCCATGCGTCACTTTTGCTGTCATTTCAGTGGCTGGAATGTAAAGATTATAAATATTTTTATTATTCAAAGTGTTCATTGCCTAAAAGTCATTTGAGTGTCAATCGTGACCGACTGCTCCTGAACGTGACGTCAGACGCGTAATCTCAGTTCATCCAGAACACCTTTGCAGTTCAACATCGGAGGAGTTTCTCATTGCCTTGTCTCTCCAAATAACGTTGGTAAGTGTTATTTGCCTAGCATGATTAACATTCTCTTTCCTTACATCTTGTTGTCTTCCTCATCTTTGTAATTTTAATATTTTCCAATGACAGTGTTTCTAAATATTCTATTTTGGTTTGTTTTACAGAGGCTCTGGATTAAGGACGCCAGCCGTTTGCTGTGTTCAATTGAAAGTGTTCCATTGCGTATTGTTGCAGTTAGTTTACCTTGTTCCTAATAATTTTATGATTCATTTTTTTATTATTGTATACATGCAGCATATTTTATGTTTTGTTCTTGGTTACAAATGCCTAACATTTTTGTCTTAAAGGGATCTAATAAACTCCAACCACTATGACCGAAATTCATTTGGTTGTCTTTCTTTAATTTGTGGGGAATTAAATGCAAAAGTATGCGGTTATAAGTAAACGGTAACATTCTGGTATTTATAACACAAAAACAGTAATCGTATGGTAACAAACTGTAATCCAATATATGACAACATACCGTATATTACGGTAGGGCACTGTAAATAAAACAGTAAGTTACTAGCGTCGACTGACAGTAAATGGCAGTTAATTCACAGTAAAATTGGTTTACGGTAACATACAGTAATCCATTTTACTGTAACAGTGTAAAAACCATTTACTGTATTATACCGTAAAAAACGGTAAATTCCTGGCGTCCTTGCTGCTAGTAAAATACCGTTAATTCACGGTGAAATTTTTTAGAGTGTATCTTATCATATATCATAGGTTCTCATACACAAAAAAGTAAGTTCCAGTCGGTGTCATTATTCAACAATAACTGAGGTTTTTCAAAGGATATTTCACAGGTGGAAATGACATCCAGACATTCAATAAGAAATCAAGACGTACCGTAGACATAAAGGAATAAAACCAAAAAAAGATCTGGAATCCACACACAAATAAATAGCAGGGTATGTAAGAAGACACGGGAGACATTACTTCTGCCTTCAATCAGCTTCAGATGTTCAGATCCCGTCATGAAAGGATGAACAGAGAACATGTTCTCTTTGAGAGTGGAAGCAGTTGTTGGTTTCTCGCAAATCAAGCCTTTGTTTGCGGCAAGTGTTACTTCAAAAGTTAATTCGTGGATCATAAAACTCCAAATTTCTATTACAGTGCAGCCACACCATAAAGTGATTTTAGTACGGTATGATTTTTCAGATTGATTGAGTCGTCCACTGCCAAGTTGGTGCTGTGTTTTTGTTACAAAGCCGTCCAGTAGGCTCTTCATCAGAGAGTGTAGCATGTTAATATTGCGTGTGTGTGTGCCAGGCTCACCAAGCCAGCAAGTTCTGACCTGCCATCATACCTGGGAACAAATTGAACCATTTACCCGAAAATAACCCTCAGCAGCTGTATGCTGACCTCAAAATAGAAACAAATGACCGAAAACATGCAGAAAGAAATACATCAAACTCACACATACCCAAAGTGCGTTGCTCAGAAATGTCAAGCTTCGTTTTTCCCACATTAATTGTTAGGGTCAAAGCGCAACGATTGATTTGTGAAGATGAATGTCGACACATGCGATAGGTTTGGCAGGCAGCGACAGGCCCACATCTGTGAGCACAAACAAGCTGCGTCTCCTTGGTGAACCCACACCACGTCTGCCACTCACGTACCCTCACTGCTCTCCTGTTGGGACGGACCTATTTTGATAGTATGTCGTTTGTGATACCTGAGAGTGATTTAATTCACTTTAAAAAATGTCCAACGCTCAACCGATTGCATTTTGTAAGTTTGTAAGTAAATAACAGGCTGTAAATATGGAGGAGACACAGCACACATGCTCTGTGGAATCGTGTTGGGAACGTTTCAGACGTCGTGGCAACAGGTGCAACATAATTTTCCAATCAAGCTCTTTTTTACTTTATAATCATCGCTGGGTCGTGAAGAATGTATTTGATGAGCTCACAGACTTTCACATGAGGAACAAAGTCAACGCAGGTGGTTAGGAATTTTCATCAGGAATCTCAGGGAGTCAATTGCAATGGTGGAGCATGTATCAGTGACATGGATGCATCACTGTAAAACAATATTTGTATTAGCCATCAATAAGTCAACATGCACTGTGTCGCAAGTGAAGGTCAGTTTAGTAACGTGTACTCTTTGTTCAGCACAATCCTGTGTTCAGTGAAGTTGAGACCAGATACTTATATTTCCCCACAAGTCCGTCACTAGCAGAGCTATGAAAGGGATTTAATGGCAACTGGCTTATAAAATAAGATGTATTTGAATTACACAATGGCAATGACTTCATGGTCATTCATTAAATAAAGGAAATTGCTCACAGGTCCAAGGATTATCTGGAGGATTAGGAGTTCTGGAGGACATTGGTCTTGAGTTTCTTTTGGGCTGAAAGCACTAAAATAGCCTGTATATATTCTATAAACTCAGTCCAGTACATAAAAGAATCACATTGGACTAAACTGAGTTTTACAATTTCAGTCTCCAAGGCAGTAAGTAAGCGTTATATTGATGTTGTCAGGGTTAAACTTTAAAGTGTTTTTATTTGTTAACCTCTTAACTTTAGACATACCTTAGTTTGCATGTTTAGATATAATATGAGACAAGCTTTTGAGGACACAATCTGTCATATCCAGTATTGTTCTTGCGGTTGCTAGAGCTCTATGCAAAATGGCATTTGTGTATCCGCTGCTATTTAAACTACACAAACCTCCAATCCTCTACCGATGACCCCCCCCCCCACATCCCCCACACCCACACTTCTCCAGGCAATAGGAAACCACTGGGCTGTGCTGTCCTTGTTTGCCCTTCCCTTGCGCATGCCTCTGCATCTGTCTCCGTCGTGTTCTCGGGTTGTCGTTGGTCCATGACTGCTGTTGTTGCCCTGCAGGGAATCCTCTGCTGAGACATGCTCCTTCTCCGTCACTCGCACTCAGGTCTTTAATTACTCTATGTAGATGTGTGTGCACACAGCCAGAGGAAGAGAGGTAGACATCGCTTTCGGGGGAGGGGGCGCGGCGTGTTGCTGCCTGCAATTCTGAGAAAACTGCCTCAGAGATGTTAATAGGAAGGCCTCCCTGCTTTGTGCTAATCCTAAAATGGGACACGTTGGAAATGTGTTGCGTAATATGATTGCAACATTGATGAGGTAGAATTTACTGTCACAACAAGATCAGTACATTCCCTCAAGTACTCTAATTCAGTACAATTTTAAGGCATGTATACTCCAATCACCAGTGTAAAATGTCATTGTATGCTCCTTTATACAAAATAATCAACACATTAAAATTAAAATAATAATGGTGAATAATACTAAATATATTTATGTAACAACATTACAAAGTGTTTCACAAAACACAAATATTTACAATTTAGAAATTCACAGCAGCAATAATTGAAGTTTTAAGGTGATGATTTTGGCCGTAGCTTTTTGTAACCAGAAGTGCTGCGAGGGGAGAGCTGAAAACTAACTTTTTAAAATTCCAAAATCTCTGATCTGAGAGTACACGACAGGGATTATTATGAAATTTGAACTAGGGTCATTTTGTTTACTGGTAGTATTCACAAAGGTAAAATGTACAAAATACATAACATGAAGAAATACAATCCACATTGTTGTGTGTAATGTAACACCGGACCTTTAACATGTTGTGTCAATCGACACTATAGGAGCACTTATGTAGATGGCATACATTTCGTAAAACAAATCCACCGTGAACTTACACTGCAGCTATTGTCTTTAAAGTCTGCAGACGCTTTAGGAGCTCCAATTGGCAACAATTTTCCTCCGAAACTACAAAGGCAGCTTCACTCGTTTTGGATGAAACAGGAAGACCACGCGGACGCACGTCGAAAGAACGAGCTGACCATAAAGGGTCTGAAGCTGATCTCTGGCTCCGCAAAACCTTCTGCATCATTCAATTGCCCTTTTTGTCTGTTTTCCAGCTGCAAAGTGTTTGAGGCGGGCGATCCTTAAGAGGACCCAGTTACACTGACAAAGGTTCGAAGTAAGGCCACTTTCTATTTTTTTAGACCACTGAGTACAACAGGGCACATACAGAAATGCTGAGGAACTCTGGACCGACATTACTCATTCTGCACTACGAGAACTGTGAAAGCATTGCTCAAAGGCAGTACACGTACAAGCCAACAGCCCAAGACAGGTAGTTTCTATGGCGCTGAAGACAGAATCAACAACACCGCATTTAAGTGACAGCTGTTGGCTCAAGACAAGCATTGGGTGTTTCTTTCTCCTCCCAGAACATGTTTAGCACAACTAGTGCAGCTTTACAACTCGTCTATAGTTAAATCAGGTTTAGCCTCCACTGAGTTTTGCCTTTTTAAACAAATATTAAAAGTTAAAGCAGTGTCCTGGCAAAGTTAAGGGGAAAGAAGTCAGAAGAATCACTTTTCTTTTTTCCTTTTTTACAGTAACGGACTGTTAAATCCAATCTTTAAATCAATCTCTCTCTCTTGAATATGTTTGATGTATAATTATTCTTTTAATGTTGTTGGATGTCTTAAAAGTTGGGTCATCATTTGAAGCTTCTGTGCTCAGCTGGAGGTTGTAATTCATGACTTTTGGCCATCACTCGATATGCAGTCGATTTTGGGCATGAAAGAAAAGCAAAGTCCGCTCAACCCACCGTTTAAATCCAGAGTGACATATATTGTGTATTTGTGTGGCTCATATTTTGTTCAAACATTCTTGGTCCTCACAGCTTGAAACACTTTTTCTTTCATCTGTTTGTTTTTTTACAGGAATTTTCCTCCAATAATAAAAGATCTGCGGCTGTATTTCTTGGAGAGATGCATTTAGTTACATTAAACAGGAGGGGGCGTTCTCAGTTTACGGGATTACAAACACGGAACAAACAGTCCGCAGGAGCAAATCATGTCGGATGGAGGGATTCGTGACTCTTCAAGATGTTTGCTACAAGAACCAAGTGTGTCCTTACCACAATAACTAATGTGTAATAACCATTAGTTGATCATAGATCATTGAAACAACTCAAGAAAACTTCTGCCGTCAATTTTTTTTTAAACGATCTAACATTTGCAAGTGAAAGAATGGGTCTTTTAGTATAATGATAATTTGGTATGTGATGAATGCGCTAATAACACAAATGTTTGTTGCCCAGAATACGTCTACCAACACATTGCTGAAGTTCATTCTTACATGCGCGACAAATGCTTGGAAGACTCCAAAGCGCATTGATACTGACAACGACTTCTCAAATAACATTGACAAAATTCAATAAGAAAATGTAAATGTTTAATGTGAAGAAAATAATATCTGTTTTAATTTAGAAGCCGCACATAATTTCACACCTGGCAGAGTGCACGTTAAAGACGTACGCGCATTGACAAACGCGTATATCCATTGCAGAAGGAGTCGTAGCATGTAGAAGGAGCTCTGTGGATTCGGGGGGTGGGGGGGGCGTCCCTCTCAGGCCTGATTTACAACCTCAGGGTTCTGTTTCTGTTTTTTTAAGCGCTAATTACAGACGAACACACACACACACACACACACACAACACAGCCTCTGGCAGAAATATAACCTCCCCCCCACAAAAAAAAAACTACTCCCTACAACTCCCTACTCAGCAATATCTCATTATGTCAGTTCTCACTATGACTATGCTCGTAAAGATCTGTACAATGTTATCTATCAATTTGAAATCCTACGTGTGTCTCTGCTCTGGATTATCTTGCAGGCGTGTCGTGGTTTTTCCCGTCCCCAACTAATGCTGAACACACGCTGTTTCTAACATTGGCAGGAAACACACGGAGTGACCCCGCTTAGAGGAGGCCTGTGAAATGTGGCCCTTCACTGTCGCCATAGTAATTATAGCCATTGTAACACCTCACTGTCCAGTGTAGAATTAGTTCAATGAGGTACGAGAGACACAGGATGCCTCAAGGACATAGAATGATTGTCTAATTTGAGGATTAAGATGACTTGTGAGTGGCCTGTTATTAGATAAATGTTGGCTTTTAATAGCAGCTTGTGATTAGGGAATAGATAAACGTATGCAGACGGATTTGCGTGAGTGTTTTAAAGAGCTGCAGAGAGGCTGAGGTAGTTTTGTGTGCGAGTGGATCATCTTTCCCTTAACTTCATAAAAAGCAAGACACCGTAATGCTCGAACCAAGAGACTCAGAATACGCTTTTCTGAGAAACTCCGAAGTATTAAATGTTACACTGAGATTAGAACCAGAACCTACACCAAAGGCTTTGAATAGATTATCCTTTCCAGGAAGGCCTGGGCAGAGTTCACTTACAGATGCCGCAGATTAAGCTCGTGTCTTTGTTCTGTTGTAGAGATGCATGGAACTGAGAGTCCTCTTACCAAAAGACCTGCCCCAGAAGCTCGGATTTGGCAGGAGTCCGCCATGAAACAACACCTGAACGACCGCAAAACCAAGATGAGGAAGAATCCACTGGAGGACCCTCGAACCCAGAAAGTGCTTCAGGTTAGATCCGAATCTAGAAGTTGCACTTCTTTAATTAAAGGTTTGTTGTACCGTCTTGTGGGATGAATTGAAACATTTAAGAGGTTCCAGCCAAAATGGATTTCCACCCTTGTTGTCTGGATCTGAAAGATACTTTTCTAAATATAAATACAACACCCAAACATATCTGCACTATGACACCAATGACACATGCATGGGCTATACGTTAGAATACATGGCCTCTACAGGCATAGCAGCAGATATTAAAATCAAATTTAAGTGCAGGGTGATTTAGCATAAACTCAACTCCCTAAAAACGATTTGCTTCCTCCAGCAGCAGCATCGCTTGTGTTCACGTTCTGCGTTCGTTGCAAAGCGAAGCAGCGACTGAGGGTCAACAAGGTGCCGTGCGAGCACCACTGACTGGTACGGTGGTGCCCTCCTCTGGGCACTCTTTCACTCAAACAGGCATACGCACGTGCACACAGTCGGTTTTGCATTCATCGCCTGGGTGACTTGCCCTGACCTCACCCTCAAAGACATCCTGCCTAAATCCCTCAACTCGTTGCTGTTGTCGATGACATTTCAGAATATCGCCCTGATAGAATAAGCCTTTAAAATAAGAAGACATGATGCAACCACGTTGATGATATGCTGATAATGAAGCCATGTGAAATGCTATTCATAAAATGGCACAATAATTTGACTACAGATATTTATACTCGTATATCAACTTGAAAATCATGATTGCGTTCCGCTTTAAAGCGGTAATGCGCTTTGTGCTTTTATTGACGCTTTTCCAATGATGTATGAAAAGAAAGAAGTTTCGAAGTTTCGATAATCGGCATCTTCCTGTTGGAAAGTAAAGTTGTTGTTTTGCCCTCCACAGCGGAATGTGTGTTGGCAGTTTGATGCAGTCTAAAGAACACCCCCTCCACCCTACCCCACCCCAACCCCCACCCCATTCTTTAACACTCACTCAACATTTCACAGTCTAAAACGCAGCACTACAAAAAGTAAAAACAGTTAAATGGGGCGGCGTACAAACACAGATATTCTCTCTGTCTCATGCAAATGAGCTTGGGCCCCGGGGGAAGAGGTGGGTGGGGAGAGGGGAGGGGAGGGGAAGGGGGGGGGGGGGGGGGGGCGACCCCTGTGGAGGCCCATATATGTCTCAGCCTGGCAAACAACCATGTGCATTTGTCCATTTTCTCCCTCACTTAACTCACTCGCTAGCACCGAAAAAAACATAAAACAAAAAAATTCATGAGCGGGAGGGTGCAAAACATTGTCAACATCATTAGAAGCAACAAAGGAGAGAATGCGGTAAAATAAGTTGTGCAGCTGGGCAGGGTGAGCGGCTTCAGGGCATCTGGTTTTCAGCATGGATGCACTTTGTTCCGCTTGTTCTTGTGAGGTCAAATACTGTAGACATAATATTTTGATGTCAGCTTGGTTTCTATCACGTTTGTGGCCTTTATTTACTTAATTATGCGAACACATTTGCTTCAGTTAATTAAAAGTCTCCACCGCATTCATATTATTGTTTTCGCACAGAGGTTTTCTTTTCTTTACTTATTTTCCTCAATCTTTGGCCTTATTAAACCCTTTTTAACACTTTATTTGAGCCATTAAAAAACACAATAAGCATAGAAACCAAGCTAAGCAACTTTTTTCATGAAAAGCAGCATTTTGGAGACTTAATATTTCTCTGAAATCACATGAAATGAATTGGAAATTGTGATGTAAGTCATTGTCATTTTCTGAAAACATGAGTGAAGATATGGGAATGTTATCAGAGACAGGGTTGCAGAGGGAGCTGCTCTAACTGAATGATTTGTTTTTTTAAAGACCCGGGGATGCACATTTAGAAAAAAGTCAGATATTGATTATAAAATGCTCCTCATGTCTGCCTGAGGCTAGCGGCTCAATGCTACATTAGCTTCCAGACACCAAACACACCAGAATCTCCGACCCGGTTCAGTGGCGGACTGACCATTTGGAGCATTCGATTCATTCCTGGCTGAATACCTCTCCTCGATAGTCACTGTATGAGCCTTTAAACGTATTTAGAAATTGTTGATTTCTGTGCAAAAAGAAGGGAATCCTGCACCTGATGTAAGGTGGTCTTTTTATTCACTACATTTGCTCTCTTCGCTGTGGTTTTATCTTCTTTGGTTTTCCTTTGAGCAACTCATCTATAACGGTTAGGCCTGGAGGTCAGGCTTGTGCTCATGGCACTAAAGCATCAAAGCATCGTTTTTCAGGCCAAGGTCCCCCAAACTGATGGCGAGATGGAGCAGGGACCCCTTATTCTACAGAGTTTGGTCCCCCATCTTTTATTTTTGAGCTTCGCGCTCTTTAGACGTGAGCATGAACGCGATCCGATTGGCTGGTGCCTGTGCTGTCGTATTAGCATGAAAGGTGCCGTGAGTGAAGACGGACGGGGAGACAGAGAGGGAGAATGAATGAGAGAGAGCGAGAGCAATCACAGACTAGGAGAAAGTGTTAAAAGAGTGAGCCGGAGAGAAAAAAAGGAGTGTGCTACTTTTCAGCCAAATGTCCGATAAGGCTCACGGCACACTGAGCCTCCTCTCGTCCGTCTCTCTCATCTTCAGCCAACTAATCACAAGACCGGACCCCTTTGATCCCACCGGCAGCCTGAAACACTGATAGCTGTGTGTTACACTAAAGTCTGTGCTCGTGCTTGTGTGTGTGTGTGTGTGCACGTGGATACTATACGTGGCCAGTGTTTATGCGACCGTCCGTGCAACAGGAATAGTGTGCGTTGTATTTCCGAACATGCGTCTGCATTAGTGTGTGTCTGCGTAGGACCCTGTGTAGGTGCATGTACGTGTGTGTGCGGCCGTGACCACCTGCTGAGTCTGGCCGCTCACATTGCACTCCACGAGACTCACATCAGTCCCGGCGGAACTTTCCGGTTGCCTTACCTCTTGCCCCTCATACAAATGTTAGCTATAAATGTGTGTATTTGTGACATTTTTACAAGACACACAGCCGTATTTTATTTCTCCTTTCTTTTTATTGAACAGAACACACACATAAAACTTATACCGACTCCATTTAATGTCTTCTGGTGAATCTATTATTTCACTTTTTGTTGAAAGTTAAGTGCTTTTACTCCTGTAAATGTATTTGTACACCTTTTGGACTAAACGCTCAACGGCAATTGTCCCATTTAGCGCGGGTGTCAATCACTTTGTCCCTGCTCGTCCTTCAGAGTGCATGTCAGCAGGAGCTGGACAGCGTCTTGGAGGAGATCTCCAAAATCACCTCTCAGGATAACAGAGGCCCACTGGAGGACCTGTACGTACTGAAACTCCCAAACTGTGACAAACACGGCCTGTACAACCTCAAACAGGTGAGCCATAGACGCACAACTACTCATTCTACCTCTTCATTCTACCTTTTCTACGTTACTCAACTGAACACGGCAGCTGGAACAACATTGCAAACGGGACAGGCAATGTAACTGTCAATAAAAAAACTACATTTTCAGATTGAGGTCACACACTCTTGGAAATAAAGACACATTACTCACAAAAATGTCTTTTATAGATGTGCAGTTCAGAATGACCACTAATAAGACAGAACACCTCAAATGTAATAACTAGTTACGTAGTTACACGAGTGACCTAATCAAAAGTCTTACTATCTAACCCCATTTAGTTCTGGACGAAATAAATCCTACATATGAAGCAGCTTTGTGCATTCCCCCTTATTACATGAGGCCGAGCATCGGCATTCACCGCCAAATAAATAAATCTGTTCCTGTTAACAGCATCTAATAATAGGTAGAGTGAGGCCAATCTATTCAGCGTGCATGGAGGTTTCCCCGCATCAAATGCGTAGTGAGCTAATTTGTCATCACAATGAACGTAGAGAAGCTCGTCAGATTCCTGGACACACCTCATCACTGTTGTGGCAGAAGAGCTTTCGCCTTGGAGGGCAGATGGACAACACCCACTGTGACATCACTCATTTAAGTTTTTTGTTTTTGTTGTGGCGTGTTTCGGAGTTTCGGCCCACGGGGAGCAGTGTGCGGCAGCATTGTCCTGCTCCCCGTGGGAAGGACACTGATGAACGACACTGCTGTTTACTTGACCGTTCTCTTTAAATGATGGATAGGGGATTCTGTTCCGTGCACCTTTTTGTTCGATTCTCCCTTGGATTTCCCCTCCCTTCTCTTTCATTCTCTCTCTCACCCCCCTCCGCCCCACCACTCCCCTCCCAACCCCCCACCTGCCACCACTCCCCTCCCAAAGCCCCTTTTTCTTTACACCCCCCCCCCTCTTCCTCACTTCTCTTGGTCTTGCAGGCACGCAAACAGACGCACAGACACACAAATGTGCGTTGAGATGTTGTCATCATGAATGAGGCAAAAGCCTCTGAGCTCAAGGTTACAAGGCAATAAAAACAGTTTGGCGTTCTTCATGGGAAGACTTTTGTTAAGCGGAGGAACGAACTGTGCTTCCGACTGGGGGCCTGAATTTGAATTCTGCACATCCATAGAAATTGGGATGGAGGAAGACAAACAAGGTCACATATCCAGTGTTTCCTTACGGGGGATAGTAGAGCAGAAAAGAAGATTTGAATAGAGGCCACAGTTTCCTAAGGCAGGGCTCTCAACCTCTCAGCCAATTTTCATCACTGGTCACAAACAACAGCATTGTTTCGGACCGGAGTCCTCGGTTCCCAGGGAGGAACACTGTACCTCCTCAACACTCGGCTCCCTTTTGGAGTTGTCCCTCCTTGTCGCGGGGTAATTACTGTAACTGTCACTTTTTTTGTTCTTTCTCATCCAAGGAAGAAAATGAAAAGTCTTTTCTTTTCCCTCCAGCTCTTCATTCTTTTGGCCGTCCCCTCCGCGGCCGCCCCGTGTGCGCGGCGTAAACTGTGTCCACTTCAATTACGACCTCGTTTCTGAGAAGAGGCGGGTGGAGGGGGGAGCGGGGCGGAGGGGGGTAGGGGGGGGGGTCCACTGGCATGCCGCTGTGTGTGTGTTTTTGTTATTGTCTGTGGTGGCATGTGTGGATGTGGATGGGTTGTGAGTAAGGGGCATGACCTGAGGATGGGCTGTTATTGGGCGAGTGTGGTCCCACCCAAGCCATAGCCCTCAATCTCATCCAATAGCCCTCCACCACCAGGATATCCACAAGTACACACACACACACACGCATCTCAGGCCACCATAGGCCATGCTTCATTAACGCACCCCTCATTTCCCACTGTGCATCTTTACCCCTCCCTCTTTTCCTCCAGTGTTTTCTAGTTGTGTCTAGTTTGTGTTTTTCTCCTCTCTCTCTCTCTCTCTCTCTCTCTAGTGCAACATGTCCACCCACGGCCAGCGGGGCGAGTGCTGGTGCGTCAACCCGTTTACCGGGGTCCAGATTCCAACGACGCCTAAAGTAAGAGGGGATCCCAACTGTAACCAGTGGCAGGAGGAGATGAGAGAGCTGCCCACTGCAGCAGCGTTCCACTAGCACTGTCCGGGACGCCCTTTGAATGGGTTGGGTTTCCTTTACAATTCCAACTGTGGCGGGATTTGTAAAAGATGTTGCAATGTATGAAGGCTTTCTCTCATTTTTTTGTTGTTGTTATCACTAGGTTAACATATTGTTACTGTCAGGCTATCTAGACCACAGCCAATAGTGTGTCCATCCCTCAGTGCCCTTCCCTCTGCGAGACAAAACACTGTTTTGTTTTCTTTTAATTAATGCACTGAAATAACAGGGTACGGGAGTTTTCGGCAAGTATTTATTAAACCGGAGGAGATTTGGGTTTATTTGTTTAGAACTATTTTTAGCTATGGCCTAATACACATTTGGTAGGTATTTATAGATTCATGGCAGCAGGACAGTTTATGTGCCATTTAGTCCAACTAGCGCGCTTGTTGTTTTTGTAATAAACAAACGTGCCAACCAGTGCATTTATAGAGGAAAAAGTTCTATCATGCCTTGGCTATGCAGGCAGTACTTGCCAGGATCTTTTCATTGTTGCTTTCGGCCATATCACTGGAATTGTTGACAATAAAAAAATACAAATAGAAGTTTATCAGCCTTATCTTTTAAAGCTGCATTGATTAATAGTTTGGGCCACTTGGGGGCAGCAGAACAAGCTGTAAAAGATGACATTTGTAATTTGTTATTATTTCAGCTATATTAGCATTCCTCTTGAGCTGTGTGTTTTACCCCCTGACAAAAGTTAATCCAATGTTGACTGTTTCGTTTTTACTTCCTTTGAATCTCTACCAACTCCATCGAAAGAGATACGTCTCTTTAGCTGCTAAAGGGTTTCCTTCATAAGCCGCTTCGCCCAGCTAGCATACACTGGCTTCAGTGGGTACTGTGGGATGGTTAATGGGAGACCTGACAATGAACAAAACAATGAAGAATCCTCTTAGGAGATGAGAAAATCTAAATTGCCTTTGGTTTTGTGTCAAATGATTATTATTGCATTCAAAGGACTTGTATACTCTGCAACAGTTTGGCTAAGCTGAAGATAAAGATTTACAGGTGCTCCATGAAATCCTTCATATGTATGTGCACACTGTTCAGAAATCACTTTTGTGACAACTTTTTTTGTTAAATAATTGAATCAAGAAGGTAATTAAAAGTTCACTGTATCAGTATCACTGTCATACTTGTCATACAGTGTCATGTCATACATTTTGTAATGTTCCTTCATCGTCATTCATTCCTACATCGTTTGCTGTAAATTAAATTGAACTTTTCTCAGACAATCTCAACTCAGGGTTTCTAACGCGACACCATATCCTCGTGTTGCCATAAACCCACCCATCAGTTTGGTTTGCTGCAGAGAGCTATCCTTGTTATTTGTCAGCAGTTTTTCCATCAACACTTGTCAACTCCAAATAACTGTGACTTAAAAAAAGGGCACTTGTGGTAATAACGCTTGAACCTGGCGTGGAGCTTCAGTATTTTTATTACTGCTATGTGCAGAGACATGCATGTGTGTGCATGAGCACATATGTGCAAGTGTGTGTGTGTGTGTGTGTGTGTGTGTGTGTGTGTGTGTGTGTGTGTGTGTGTGTGTGTACCCATGTGTTGCTAGGGTTACTAATGAAGTGTTGAGAAGAGGAGGGCTTAGGATGAGCGGCTGACATTGACAAACGTGACACTAAGCGGGGAGAGGTGTCTATGAATAAACCAAGTATGCAAATGCACACACACACACACGTATTTCTGTTGCAGATCACGGTCTATAGATGGGTAACTCACCAAGGGAAGTGAGGGTGCTATTAATGATTCTGAATGCCCAAGACAAAACTAGATACCGTGACAACGTGTTTAACTTTGTGCAGTATTGTCTCACTTTTACAGGAAGTGCTGGAACAATTCTGTCATCCTGAGACTGTAAACCATCCGCTGATCTGGTCCGTTTGACAGTGAGTGATGTGGGTTGATTCTTCAGAAGATACAGCGTCATCAGAAAGTTGTGTTGCATGTGTTCTTATCGCAATAAAGATTACGGAGGATGTGCTCTTGTAAAACTGAATCCCAAATTGGTCCCGATGTGCAGGCAGCACTATGTATGTGGACTCTGCCACCAGTGTGTGAATGTGTGTAAATGCATGAATGATGACATGCAGTTTACAATTGCTTTGGACAATGAAACGACTAGAAAGACGCAATACAAATTTAACATCAAACAAATACATGTGAATACATCTCTGAGGTCAAACTGTTTCTCAAGTCAGATTTGTATAGAACTCATATGTACATAACATAAATAGTTATAAGTCCCTCTAGCTTTCAATCCTCTCCACACTGGAGTGAAATTCTGAGCGAGAATACACTGTAAAAAATGAGACAAATCCCACAGGTTTAGGCGTTATCTTTTGGGCGAAGTATTTTTATTATTATTTTGATCTATTTCTTTAATGTAGCCTTTTGAAATGCATTTTTTTATCTGGATCATCCCCGCCCCCCCATCTGGTCACATTAGGAAACATTTGGCCCACAACCTTCGAAATGTACATATAACATGTGAGTATTGTTTTGAGGCAGACTTGGAAATAAACATTGTAAAAAGGTCAATTCATTTTTTAGATTATTTTCATTGAGACTGACTAATTAAGATTGATTCATTATCATCATTGATGTTCAGGCAACAGTTAGGACTTGTAAAATGTGTATATGCTATGCAGCCTATTACATCCAACCCAGGGCTTTAAAAAATCCCCAATCCACAAAAGTAGCCATCTACAGTATTTGCAATCAAATAATTCAAGACTTGGGTGCAGAGAAAGGCCTCTTTGAAGTTCTGGCCAAAAGTGTATCATATGAGACCAGACCTGACCGGCTGTGGCCTTGTAACCTTATACATGGGCCTGTGTGCCAGTTAGCTGAGCACGAGTTCAAGAAATGCTCTTTAATGAGAACTTTACAGCACTGTTCACGTTTTGTGACACAGTTTTCTGTCAATTTGTTTTCTGTTGTTTTTTGGGGGCGTTTTGGCAGTCAGGTTGCTTTAAAAATGTGACGCCCTGGTCTGGTGTCACACGCGGATCTCGGGTGTCCTTGGGTTGTTTAGCACATTTGAGGCTATTTTGCAGCTTCTAGCTGGCCTTTTCTGAAAACAAATCAAAACAAGTGTCTTTTGTTTTGGGTTTGATAGATTGGGCACAATGGGCTGAGGAGGGTAGTTTAGCAGTGGGAATAAAAGTGGGGGTGAGTATGTGTGTGCTTGCGTGATTGTGTGTGTGTGTGTGTGTGCTTGCGTGATTGTGTGTGTGTGTGTGTTTGTCTGTGTGTGTGTGTGTATGTGTACGTGTATGTGCAAAAGCACATGTGCGTGTATTGGCCTGGAGAACCGAAGATCTGCCCTACTTACAGGCTAGTATTTCTTTTGTTAGCATTCAACAACTTCCCTTGATATGTTGATGGCGGGTCTGCGTCTTAGACTCGCGGAAGCTGTACTTGTTGAATGTTAACAAAATAATTGTTGTTTTATCTTTGTTAAAATGACATGGTGCTCCAATGGAAGCAGGAAGTGCCACAGGAGAGACATTCTTCCGCGAATGTGGACAAAGGAACCAAGTAATATTTGTCAGCCTGGTAGGAAGATTAAAAAGAAATGTTTATGCAGAAATATGCTGTGTTAGAGTGGCTTGTGGAACCAGGAGGTATGGGAAGGCATCAGCTCTCTCTAATCAAGCTAACAGTGCCATGAATCGGTACAAAAGGTTTAATGCACTTGTGAATTTGCACTTTTCAAAGGGAAAAGAAAGGAAAAAACAGTTATTTACCGTAAGTAATATTTTTTTGATTGTAATCTAGATCCATCCTTGCATTATATCTTTTGTGTGATCAGATTGCCATCCAACAACGGTTCTTGACCACATTAAAAGTAAATCTGGTCAGAGACCCAAGTTCAAGTAAAAACACAATTATTACTAAATATTACTATACAAGCGGTACGTTCGCGTGATTTTGGTTATGTGACCAAGCAGCAATTAAAATGAGTTATTAATAACTTACAGAATGATTGCGTGCAATACTTCACCTTCCAGCTTATCTTCTCTCTCAAACACACACACTCTTACAGCGGCGCTCCGTCCTTGTGACCAATTGCCATGGTCCCATGGTGCCAAGTCTAATGGCACTGTGATCAGGTTAAATTATATCTAGACACAAGTCTATTATACAGAATGTTATACAAACTAAATTAATCGCTGAGGTCAAGGTGCACCAAGACATTGCTAAAAATGAATTGGATAGGGCAAGAATCACGAGTGAAGAAGGAAAGTCGGTCTGCAGTTTGTGCTGGACGATTAAAACAGAAAGTGTGTTTGTAATTTTACTGTTAGGGTTTGTTTCCTTTCCCAAATAATTGGTCCAAATTGATGGTCTGTTTACTACCTGTCAAACAGCATTTCTTTCTTGCCGAGTCAGAGCTATTTTAGTGATGTAAGTGCATTCTGAGATCTTAGCGATTTCTTTGTGACACCAGATGGCCAGAACTTGATAAATTCCAAAATGCAATTATTTGCCTTAGTTGCCCAAAGCGCTCATGACGTTATTTTTTCCTCTCAGACTTCTCTTTTTTTCGGTGTATTTTCGTATCTGACCATTGCTGAAAAAACAGGACTACAGAATGTGTTTTTGGCCGCCAAAAGAGGAGCATCTCATTGTTGGTTTCCTTAACATGCAGTTTAGGTTCTCACAGTAACATCCGATCCGCGCTGAAGAGCCTTCCATTAAGGATTCCAAGTCTAAGTCCATCTTTGATGAAAGGGCTTGGATGAAAACTAGCAGACACTTGTCTGCCGTCTACTACCACCGGCATTGGAGGAATCCAGCGCTAAGTCATGCGATTTACTCTCAAGCGCTGTACATTCTTTCAAATCTCCTTTCATCTCCATCCCGGTGATGAAAAGAACCACCCCTTACCTCTTTAAGAGACAGTATTATACAAGAGCACAAGCGGTGATTTGCAAAGATCCCAATTATGCAGCGTGAACATCTGCATGCCATTTGTACGCTTATGTCTTTAAATACCCCGGCATTGTTTCTAAAACTCACATTTAATGATGAGCCACTGGCTAATGGAAGTGAGATTCTCTCCCAAGCTATTGTATACAATTTTAACGCACTAATAACGTGTTTAATTACATCACAGCATCCAAAGAAACACAAAAAAAGGACCAACATTCTGTGCAAACGCTGAGGTCTGAGCGGCACCGTAATCCTGGGCACAGCGAGTTTTGGGACGGAGTGAGGTGCGTGAGTTGATGTCAGATGGAGCCATCCAAGGTTGTTCCTTAATTATGTAATAAAAGGGGCATAAATGCTTTGAAGTCCTAAGTGCAGTTGTCAGTTTCTTTGAAGGCAAATAGTAATTGTCATGTTCACTGCCTCACAAATCAAATCTTCTACACATGTTTCCTCCTCCCCGAAGTCAAAGTCTGTGCCCTCCCTCCTGCATGTACGCACAAAGACACACCGCAACAACCTTTACGGCAGCCTTGATCTGCTGTGCCCTCCACCCTTTTATGCCCCGCATCAGTCACCCACATCTGGTTATGGTCAAAGTCCTGAATCCCCCAGGGGAAGACTTTGGTGGCCCCCAAAAAGTCCCCATCCTCTTCCTGGAATCCACGAGGAAATACACAGATTCCTAGAACCTCCCACAAGTGCTTTATTCTTACGAATGTTTTTGCATGATGTAAAATTAAAAACAAACTTCAATCATCAAGAACATGAAATAATTATTGTTTTCAATGTTCACGTCACCGGTTGATTCCGTTGCGCCTCATGATGTTATTAAAAAAGCAGGGTGACAAATGTGTGGATTTGTGTGTCCGACTGCTGCCGTATTAACCAGACCATCCACGCGTTTCTCGCCTTAGATTGTGTTCTACGCAGACACTTTGTAATGCATGTGTGTCTTTATGAATGGACATTACACAGATGAGTCCATGCTGCCTTTAAGTGGTGATAAAAGTAGCTTTTCATTCACATGAATCCTCCCCCAGGCCACAAATCCCCTTCCTATGAGTCGTTTGAATAGTGAGCTTGGCCCTCTAGATGTTATCACCCCCCCCCCTCCTACCCCCTCTTGAAGTTCAAACTCATGTTAAATTACTTCCTTGTTCCTGTGCAATCTTTTGACTACTGTGTTGAAAACCAGGTGACTTGCCTTCGGGCGAGGCTTTTTAGAGTCACATCCTGCATGCTGCCTGAGATCCTTGTGTCTCAGACGTACGTCTAAGAGGTTTATCAGCTCGTGCCTCGGAGATTAGTCGGCGCTTACACCCAGGATCACAGCGCCAAACTGTACAAACTGTACATTTCAAGCCATTTTGGTGTCTACTCGCTCCACTTAGACAAAGGCACCGCTAGAAATGAAAACCTCACCAGTGTTTAAATGAATACATAACTTTATTTAAATAAATGCTTTGTCATAACAAAAAAAAAGACAAAGGTTAAAAGAGTACATAAATTACAAGTTGAATAAATATTACACAGTGATATTCACTTTAATAATTTGAGATTTCTTTTTTTTTTCTTGTTTGTTTTATGCAGTTCCAAATACTGACCATTTTATTTCCCACTGAACTCCTGCCAGTGACGGGGTTCATTTCACAAGCCAGTGAACACCAAATTATGAAGAAAAAATAGTATTGACTCATAACATCCGGAAAGTTTTATGTACTCAGAAAAAAAGCTGTACTGTCGTTACTGTACTACTGAAGTATGTGAATATGAGTTTAAACCAAGTAGGAGATGTGAAACCTGAGGAACTAATAGAGACCATTCTCTTTAAGCCTGAACACCAACCTGCGATCCAAACAAAAGAAACAAATAACTGGAACACTGAAGTATTCACACACTTGATTGATACAATGAACGGTCCCAGATATCAGATACATTTCCCACTCGATAGTATCACATTAAAGGCTATTCTCGGCTGCGGTGTTGCACTCCCCAGGTTTCCATAACTCCCGTTGACTGTCTTGCTAACTGTATCTAATGTCATGCAATTGGTGACCCCATATCGGGGAAGTGGCTAGGCCCTGATTATGACCACTGCCCATGGCGCGCTCTCTCTCGTCCTCTCCCCTCTGTCTCTCGTAACTCCTCTCCACTCATCTCCAACTCTCATTTCTGTGCAATTGGCCATGAGAACATCTCTAGCTGCATGTTACTTTAAAATCTATTTCTCCCTAAAGGATGTTGCTGTATTGGAGGTCCCAGGCATGGGCTGCACAGCCCCTGTCGACAAATATTACCTCAAAGCGCCACCTTTAAAAGGTGAGCACAAGATAACACAACATCTAGCTTTTGTGGCTGTTTTTTTTTTTTTTGTCTTTTTTTCTTGTTCCACCAACTTCACGATAACACATCTTAGGACGTTGTTGTGTGTCAATATCAATATTGAGTAACTGAAATAAGTGCAAGCTGCTTTATTTTTTTTTCGAAAGGTGTAGTAGGAATTGGGTTTGAGCCAAGAGACCCTTGATAATACGTCCACAACCCGGAAGCCATTGAGATGCACTTTCGCCGTCTTCTCTTTTAATAAGGAATTCGGTTGATTTACGTCCAAAGCATCATTTGACTTCCCCTTCTATGCCATTGATATACAATGGGCAATCCATCGAAAAGCAGTTATCATAGCTAAGCAGTAATCAAAAGAACGAAAAGGAGGGAGTTCTATTCGACTGCGTTCGAGGGACAGCTTCTCACTCATCACTATTGTCCACATTGCCCCGGAGGTTGAGGGGGAGATAACACATGGAAATTGCCATTTAGAGATCCTTTATGTACATTGTTCCACACTTAATCAGAGCTATTTTAGACCTCTTATTCTTTTTTTTGGGGGGGGGGGGGGGGGGCGCTTTCGGAAATAATGAAATTGTCCAGTTTGATATCCATTTCACTTTCACGTCACTGTTTAAATGTAATTGCATGAAGGAAGGCACTGTGACTTGCACACAGAGAGAAAAAACTCAACTTAAATGACCCTGTTATAACCTTTTTGTTTTGATCATCCTCCTCCCGTTAGATGTAATACCCTTGCGTGGAGGCGTGCAAGCAGAAGGTTCCAGAGGGTTAGCTTCTTTGACTGACTCACGGCCATTCTGAGGCTCCAAAGAACTCATTCTTACAGGCTAAAATCGTTTTTTTCCTTTTTCCAAGAACAATTACATTGTTGTCATACTATGTTTCTACAGGCAAAACAACATTCAATAACTATATTTAAAAGTAATGTAATACACCATGGTTACACTGTAGTAGCTGTACTGAGGGGAAACCACTTGATAAAGGAACATGGCTCAGAAGTGGGCGGTCTTTACTTCACTAAAGGCAAAGAAAACAGCGCAAACAAAACCATACAGAACTACACTTCACACAACGGGATCAGAGAGACAACCGGCTCCACTGGCAAGTTTGATAATGCACTCAACTCGAAGGTTTGAGGTCAAACTTGAGTCTCGTTGCTTAAGCTGAAAATACTTTGTTTCACCGGTAGAGTCAGCGCACTCTGAGCTCTGTGTCGCCCTGCATGGCAGTGTCTGTTTAAATAGGCACAGTTGGCATATCAGGCTAGCTACATTGTCGAAGAGCCACACATAGCTTCATCCGTGACAATCTGCTTAGTCTTTTGTTTCAAAACTCTGTGTGTCACGAGGCATACTTTACATCGGTTATAGAGAAGGCCAGCCCAAAGACCACTTCAAGCGCCAGCAATACTTGTTGTGACAAAATCAAACAAAACAGAAATAAAGGACATTCTTTTTGTAATAGGCTCCATCATACACCAACACAAGGCAGAAACATACCACACGCACGCACTGTACACATACACACACTCATGCACGCATCATTTTGTGAAGGTACAGCTAAGCAGGTTCCCCTATTCATAAGTGCTCTGACAGAACCACATTTCAAGATAGAGTCAGCTGTTACAGCGTATCCCTCTCTAATCTTTCTTTTTTTTTTCTTTTGGAAAAACAGACCAAAAACCAAATTACTCTGCCAATAAACAGTTGCACAGTGGCATCATGTTCCACTGTCTAAAACTGATATGTTTTCAATCAATGTGCCTGATGTTGGATTTTACTCACAAGGATTTTGTGTTAATTTTATATCATACAAAGTGTCGTATTGAAACACCCAAACTACTATAAAAATGATGTCCATGGTGTGTATATATTTTCATAGATCTGCAGCCAGGGGATCCGCCTCACACAGGGGCTCCGTGAGCAATTGTCAAGGGATCTATTAAATCTTCAGGAAATCTTCCCCTCATTTAAAGATGAGTGCTGGGTCAGAAAAGAAAAGAAAATACAGGTGTCTTTGTTTCAGCCTGGTCTTTCGTTTGGATTTTTTTTTTCTTCCTTTTTTTATCTCAATTCAAAAAAGAAGCCAATGCAAGGTGGAGCATACAGAAGGGATTCAGAGAGGAGGCGTGGGCCCTGGGTCACGTGGTGGTTGTGGGTGGGGAGGGATGGTGGGAGTGGGAGGGGGGGGGGGGGGGGTCAAAGGGTGGTCTCCTCCTCCCTTTTCCACTCGTTGTGTTGCTGGTCTCCAGGTCTTTACACTGAATGTCCCCGCCGCTGTAGTCTGTGCCGGGGAGCTGGACGCCGTACTTGTCCACGCACCAGCAGATGCCTCGTTTGCGGCCGCGAGATGGCTTGCACTGTGGGTCAAAAAACAACGTTGTAGCTTTGGTTAAAAACTGCTACTGGGTGGAAAGGTTGGCGGGGGCGACGGCCCTGGCACACGAGGCAACAGCTCACAAAATGTTGTTTGTGGGTCTTCAGGACAAAGGGTAGCAGATTAGGTTGTATCAAAGGTTTGCTAACTTGCTAAATGAAAATTAGCGAGCTTTTTAGAGTTCAGTGACCGAATTGAAATGGAAGATTGTTGCTGATTTAATTTCCCTTTCCAAGCAGTGACATTTTTAACAAATGTTTGACATGCTTGAATAATCTTAAATGGTACAGTAGCCTAATTTAAATGGATGGGGAAAGTTAAAGCAATACTAATTACTAGATATCGATGCAAAGTCCAAAGGAGAAGAGACTCTGAAGCGAACCCACCTGCTTGCGCTTGAAGAATCCTTTTCTGTCACAGTTTGGAAGATACAAAGACAGAGCCATGACACGAGAAGTGTCCTTCATTCCCTGAATGATCCCATCAAGTTTTCTCCTGCATGGACCCTTTGGGGTAAAGCACCATACGGTTACAAAGCCGCCTTTATTCAGTTCAACACAAAGATATAACGATAATGCATGATAACTATGCAGCCAGATAGGAATACTAAGCGTGACCAAAGTCCAAAATGTTCACATTCTACACATAACGTTGAAGACTTACAAATTCCGGCTCGTGCTTGTCGATGGGCAGAGGGGAGTAGTCCATGGGGGAGCCCATGGAGCGCTGTTTGCCGAGCTTCCTCTTCTGCTCCTTGCGCAGCGCGTGCATTTTTTTATTGTTCACAATGTCTTTGGGAAGGAGTGGCACTTTAGCTTGCTGCAGCTCATCTGCAATCTCTGTGGTAATGGCGTCCTCGTGTTCTCGAGACTCCCGTTCCGCTGTGGAGCAAGTAGAAAACAGTTCATTGTTGCATTTTTAAACAATGTGAGTCCGATAATGTGTTAGTTACAATACAATAAAACCATAATATGAGAAAATGCTTGGCGCTGGCATGCAAGTTGTGTTTGTCCTCTACTGAAATGCAATGCGTTTTGGTCGGCACCAACTCTTGAGGGAGATAACAGGCTTTTTGTAGCTCCTAAACCCTCTACTGTGTCTGCTTGGCGCTGGGCAGATAGCGTACAGCAGGATCATCGAGCATTGAGCTATGAGCAGCTGTTTGCTACACCTCAACGTTAGACTGATGGAGGCTGCGATAGGAAGGAAGAGCTGAAAGGTGCTGTTTTCGTTTCGAGAGCGAAGGGGAAGTCCAACGTTGTTGGTGGTTAGTTTTAGCAAGTCACTTGTTGATCCCTCGTTTTATATATAAATCCTCATGAGCATAGAATGGAGCTAAAAAACGTATCTCGTACGCATTATTGGTTAACAACATAATTGTCTTGGAGTAGGTTAATCTCAGGGTTACCAAAGTGTTGGTGCTGGTTTCCATTGTGACCCATTTGTGTAAATGTAATCTCGGAACCCACTGGCTATTGTTCTACGATGACACAGTGTGTAAACTGGCTACTAAAGTGAAACACTCTGGTCGTCGTTCAACTCCAACTCACGTCTAAAGTTGCTCATTCGGTTACAGAAGCACTTAAGTGGGAAATTCCCCAAGTTCCCCCAAAATTCAAGAATGTTAAATGTCTCTTTAAAGAGTGATGTCTGATCCAACAGTCCTCATGGAGTAGAACAAGGAAATATAGATGCATAACTGCAACATTTTACAATCAATGAAAAAAAACCTGAATAATTTGCCATCTTCATATATCAGAGATGTGAATGTTTGCAGCAATCCGTCTCATTTGAATACAATACCAGGTGCTTTTACCAGGTTTTGCGACACCAACTGTTTGGTGGCTTGGCATTTGTTTATGGAGGCGGGGAGGTTGGACCTCTGATGAACAGCTGATGAAATCCTTCAGCTGACTCAGGAGTTCAAGCTCCCGACAACGCCACCACCTGACCTTGTCATACAGTTATAGAAAAGTAAGGTTAAACAAATCCATTCATGATAGGCCAATTAGATTTTGTTATTATTATTTCAATATCTTTAATATATCAGAAATCTAGTTTATTAATACAGATACACCTGAGTGAACAGATGTCTATAAAATGGCATCACATGCATGGCTGCATATGAGGTGTTTGGAAAATTTGCTCGCACGTTATCTGGACTGCTAAGCTTCAACGTGGGCCTCTGAGTGTTGTAACTTTGCGGCGACGTGGCCCTCATTAAACTGATTTAAATGTCAGGCTGAGGAAATTCCAGTTGCTCTGCGAACTCATATAAACGCTTGTGGATTTCTGTCACATTTTATGCGCTTCTTAGACGTAATTTTAGCTCCCCCAGGGGCGAACTATAGACTCTTGATAGGATGTTTACAGGTTTAGGTCCTTTATCCTTACCCCCCACCTCCCGAGTCCCCCCGACCCACACGCTCCCTCTTGTCTTATGTTTGGGGCTCAGCCTCTTAAGCCTCAACCCCCAGCCCAGAGGTTCTTTGAGGGCACAGAAAGAGGCCCCCCCCCCCCTACCCAATTTTGGCTTAGCTGTTCCATAAGTACAGAGTTATTGTGGGGACTTTGCCAGGCCCCGACTGGGCGAAGCGATGGTGCCGGTGGATGACCCTGGTTATATTTATCTGACAAGGAAACCCGTCGTGGTGCGCAGGGCCGGAGGCACTGAACCAGAGAGGAATGTTGGCTGCGGACCGGAGGGCCAAGTGCTGCTGAAAGACAAATCAACTTCCATACAAAGCAGAGAGAAAAGGCTGGGAAAAAAAAAAAAAGATTTCACAAATTGCCATGAAGTCGCTGACTGGCCTGTTGGTACACAGCCTCCGTAGAGAATGGCTCCGAGACAAAACAAGGACACAAGCTCCAAAAAACTGATGTTCAAAGAGCCCTGACACAGCATGAGCGTCTGGAGTCCCTGGGAGGGCGAGGGAGGGGGGTGGGGGATGGGGGGGGGTGATTACCAGAATTGGGTCTTTGGCTTCTGCGCTGCGCTGCCGTTGCTTTGAAATTAATCTCACAACTCATGACTTGGCAGGCCTTGGTTTGTGTTTAGATATGTCCTTGTGTCTCCCCCGCTCAGACTACGAGGCTATTACTCGCTATAAATAAATACGTCAAACCAGCATTCCTATGTACGCCCGTGCATGTGGCCAGGGTGGAAAAACACTGCATTTTCTGCTGCACGGCCCAGTAATTCCTCGGGGTGTTTATTTGGCAATGAAATATAAAAACGAGGGCTGTGTTTTTATTTTTTATTTTTTTTTATTTTAACGTGCATTCTTCTTTCATGTGTAATCTCATTCGAGGAAATGGCACTCAGACAGGTCCGAGTCGTGGCACATCGATTATATTCACCTTACAAATGAGTCACTTTGAGAAATGTCTGAAGTGGGCTCTTCGGTGTGGCACAAAAACTCCAGTTTTTCCGTGCTCACGGTACCCAACTTGTAAAGGACGCTTACAGGGTCTGTGTTTAACTCCTGAAACTCAGCCAAGACGCTGGACGGGCGCCAAGTGAGCCAAGTCATGTGCAGCTCTTCCATTCAGCTGAGCCCGAAGCTGTGCCGCTATCTCTCTCTCTCTCTTTCTGCTCGAGCTAAAGATTTCATTAGGATGAGAGGAGCGGCGTAGCCAAAGGAGGTGCACCTGATACTTTTCCGTTTAAAAATTAACATCTGCTCACCATTATGCCTCATGAATATACCACGTTTCTTAGGGGCAACAGTCCGAGAATTAAAGATAAGGTGCCACGTCTTCTTCCCTCCGGATCTTAAAGACTATAAAAGAATTTAGGACAAATAATTGTCCCACCTTTCGTCAGATTTTCCAGCATTTGTTATGTCCAGCCTTTGTTGCATCATAAATGACATCTTTTCAAGATGTAAGAGTTGTGAATAAAGGTGGCGTCTAATCTCAACAGAGGGTAGCACAAGATCATGTGGAGGTAAATGAGCTTGAGGGATTGTGTCATATAAAGCTCTACGTTAATAAACCATCCCCAGGCCTCAGACTACTTAATGTTAAGTCGATAACCCTGCAGTTTCTAGAGCGGAAAGGGAGTCGTGCAAGTCACCGGGGATGTGTGTGCACCAGCACAGAAGTTAAGCTCCGATGAAAAGGAAATATGGGTCGCAGAGGCTTTTAAAACTCTTAGGAGGCAAAATATTTTGCAGATCAAGTTAAACACGTAGCATCCCCGTCACGAAACCCTCTGGCGCGGGTGGCGTGTTGAATTGTCATAAAGTGACAAGATAAGATACACCCTTGGCACATGACTTGACAGCTAGTGCACGTAGCACGGTTACGTGAGACGACGGAGAGGCTGATGACTGGAAAAAGGCTCCATTCCAAACGAGTTGGAGCAGAAAGAAAATGTGGCCCTTATCAAACGTTCTGTCCGTGACAGTGTAACGTTGAAATGTTTTGATCCTTAAATCCTGTGGTTTCCATGGAGCTTCCGTTGCTCGACCCTGTGCGTGGCCTCGGCCGGCTCCTGGAAATGCAGGAAATAACTCTTCCCACGGTATTGTGTACGCAGAATATATTCATGCAATCAAAAAGTTTCCTGCTTTTCTGAAATCGCTGTATAAATAGCAACAAGAACAATTCTAGGATTATAAATCACAAAGCAGGAATTACGAGAGGATGCAAAAACTTCCAAGAGGGGAAATGCTTCTGTAGGTAAGCATACTTTCTGACCCCTTTTACGGCTTCCTCGGTGGAGACGAGTCCATGTTTCACGTTGCAAATTATCACGGCGAGGCGCATGGTTCTCCCTAATTTTGGCCTACCGTCTCATCCTACATTTGAGTTGGGTTCTTCAACGCACCACATTCTCTTTTTTGGGGGTTGGCCATCGCCACAAGAGAATTGCCGGGTGTGACGATGCTCTGACGCCCCGATGGCAGGGGGCAGCTATTTCGGCAAAAGTCGAGCGCTCCCCGGCTGTGCCGCACAAGGCCGATCTCCATGCAGCAGAGGAATCGGCACAGAGAGAGACAAACTGACATTGTCGTTAATTCATTGATTTTGCAGTATAAACATTGGATTGGATGTGCTGGAACGTTCTTTCCTCCACAAAACCAGGGATCAACAATGGGTCAATTTAGTTTTTTTCCAAAGTATTTAGCAAGACGCAGTTTTCTGTGCCTCAGATGAACTTACCCACTTGCATCAGGGACAAACAAAAGCTTCTCTCATGCTCACACAGCGCCAGCGTTTAAGAGAAGTCCCTGGAGCCTCCATTGTTTCCCAGATCCGAAAGGAACCAAAATGGCCTATTTCTGGTCCTCTCTCCCGCTTAGGTGTTGTAGGTGAGATCACAGTGCACAGGTCAGGTGTCAAGATGTGTGACATCATTTTAAAGCCCAGCATGGGGCCACCGGCCCCCCACCCCCCGCCTTTATCGAATCACATGCTCCCAGTGTAGAAAGACTGCAGCGAAAGCCCTGATTTTCCTTCACAGCTGTTGCCACCAAGCAGGCTAAATGTGTCTGTGAACCAAGAATCTTTACAAATACCGCTGTAAAGTTTAACAGCAAAGAAATCAGACGAGTGTGCCAAAGAGCTCCAGTGCCGACGACTGTGGCGAAGATCGTCCTGTTTTTTACATCAGGGGTATCAATGTCACGTCCGAGAAAGCGGGTTCCTCACGTTTTATTGGGCGTCACTTTTCCTTTGTTTTTCTTTTAAGTCCTCGTGCAACATTTTTCACAAATTGACCTCTCCAATAATTCTTCACACCTGCAACGGCTCAGTTGCAGCATGCAAAGCCCTCGCTGCACTGTCTTAGATGTTCAAGGTGAGACGGATGTTAAGCCACACAGGCTTCCCTTTCGCATGGGCCCGTTAATGAAGCTGTGGAGCAGCTGGGGCCCACACGTGACCGGGGGTATAATCTGCCACGCCACGTCTGCACGGACGCCCGGCGTCCGCGCTGCCGCTGCTTCGCATCAGCCCGGAGAGTAGGCTCGAAGACGACCTGCGCTTTATCGCTTGCTTTGATTCAGATGGCCATTCCCGAAAGTACGCGATGACAAGTTATTCTGCGAGGTGTTTCTGACGCAACCAGCTGCAACCATGCGTGTGGGAAGTTCTTTGGCGAACCGCAAAGTGTCGGAGGTCTACAGTTGCCCGACTCGATTGCCGTTGCCGTAATGCGACATGTGGAAAAATCACTAACTCCGACGGAACGCACACAGAGAGCGAATGCAAAGTATTGAAGAGTTCAGTAAAGGCACCGGGTTTCCTGTTGCTATGCTAATAAGAGGGCATAGTATTTTTGCTCGTGTGTGTGTCGAGTATTCTGCATTTGGAACCACTCCCTAATCATCTTTGGTTTCTTGGCAAAGAACAATGCGTTTTTAAAACATAAGGCCCCTTTGAGAAGCTTGAGGTGATGAGGGGGCCTGCCGCCATGAAGTCATATCTGTTGGCAAGCTTATTCACCCGTAGGGTGGCCAACAAAGTCGTAGTGGCCCCAGCAGCAAACGCCTTGGCGCATCGCAGCGGCAGCTAAATGTGAGTCGCGGAGCAACGGCCAGGGTCCATTTTTCTACATGAGCTTTAAAGAAAAGAAGAAAAAAAAAAGAAGGCCAGGGGTTAGGGGAGAGTTAGGGCTGCAGGATGGCAAAATATTCCTCTCTTCCTCCTCTCCCACTTTCAGGCTGCCCCAGGTCAATATTTAGTAGGCTTGCGGACACTTGAGCTCCTCCTCCTAGTGTTTGGTTTGCTCAGCAGCACAATGACAGCTGCAACCCCACACCACAGGAAACCAGAAGCTCACCTCACCAGTACCAGACCAGTACCGGGCCACACAGAGAGAGAGAGACATTCTGTTGAATCACATTCTGCTGAATCACTGCGTTGTGAATGCGCGCCCATGCAGCGGATGCAGCGCCAGAGGCCAGAGAGAGAGAGAGAGAGAGAGAGCGAGAGAGAGAGAGAGAGAGAGAGAAGATGCTGTGATTTACCTCCGCGGGCCAATAAAGAAGTCAGGAACCGCGTCTGTGTGCGTGCGTGCGTGTGCTTTGTGTTCGAAGGCAGAGCGAGACGAAACCGCCGGAGGTGTCATCATTCACACAGACAATGCGCGCCCACGCTGCCGCCGCCCCGCCCCGATAAGCGATGAGCGAACCCGCGGGACCCGAGAGCCGCTGCGCCTCCGCCCAGTGGAGCGCGAGGTTCTCTCGGGCGCGTTTCAGTAAACCGGCGGCGTGCGCGGACAAACCACGTCGGGCCGTGACGTCATTAAGTGGAGAGGTGTTCCGCGCTCTGGGGCGCGAGCGGCTTAATGACTCTTGTCAACAGCCCCAAAATGAGCCCCGGTGGCGGCCTGTTTTATGGAATGAGGCGTGCGGCCGAACCCTTTGTGGTTACCACCTAGTTGTTGACAGGCTGCTAAAAACTCTCGAGCGACAGTGCCCACCCCCGTCTCCCCCTCCCGTCCCCCCAGCCACGGCAAGAAATGCCTTAAATCATTCAGGGCTGCGCTGTCTTTCTCCTCGTCTAACTGTCTCCGTGACTTTTCCTTTTTTTCTCTCTCTCTGAGTCTCTGTCACGCATACAGATTTAGCGGTAATCCGACTCTGAACGCAACGCTCGCGGCAGCTTGCAGCCCTAAATCGATCTGCATTCCGCTTTAACAAGATGCCGTGCGCTTTTTTTCTCTTTTTTTTGGGTTTTGTCGCGGAGTGGAATCCTGTTGCTTATTCCCGATTTGTCTGACGTCAAGGTGCGAATGATAATTCAAAAAGGCAGAAGAAGAATAGAAAAGAGGTAGAAAAGCGTGATGCGCTCCTGCGCGCGCGCGTGGGACAGACACTTGTTACAAGAGTGGAAATCAGATGAACTGAACTGTGTCACGTGTCTCCTTAGTGTCCCTTAGAGATAAAACGGAACTGCTTTTTTTTTGTTTAACTGCCCGGATCTTTGTGGAGGCAGTGCGCTGCTCATCGCTATACACCGCAGTTTGACACCCACTGTCCCCGCACCGGAGACACGACTCCAACCGCGGGGTTGGGGACGTGGACGGGGGGGGGGGGAGGGAGGGCATCATGTGCGTTGTTACCGCAGCAGAGGAGAAAAAAAGCCTGGTCGCCGTGCGTGTGTGCGGCGACTGCGACCAGCGTTCAACACGACGGTGCCGCTCCAGCCCAGAACGCAGAGCCCGCAGGGCGCTCGGCCGACGGCGCGTTCGTGTCACGAGGGGAAGGAGGAGTGTTTTAAGCTCATGGGGGGTGGGGGGAGGTGGGTTCGGGGGGAGAGGGGGGGGGGGGGGGCAGTTTTATCGAGGCGGTGGATACAAGTTAATCAGACGGCCCCCTCAAAACATCTGTCAAACAGGCGCTCCGTCAGAGAGCAGCGGGTACCGCTTCTCCTACAGTCCCCACCCGGAGACCCAGGACCCCCCACCCCCTCCTGGATGTGGCAAACGTATGACATAAATACATGTAATTTCACCTTGCTGTGGGGGGGTAAATAGGTATAATCGTGAAGTAACCTCGATTCTAGTTGTTTGTGTATTTCCCGCTATGGGCGCAATCCCGCAGCAGCACACAGTGGAACCCCCCATGGGACAAGATATATCACGCACTGCTGTCCCCAATCTAAACGACGCTTAAAAATATATATTATATATATTTTTTTACATTTACATCCGGCAGCCGAACACACATTCCCAAGTCGATCCCGACGCATGCATTGAGCCCGGGCAGCCGGTGCGCGTCTTACCTATGGGCGGGTGGGCAGGTTTGTATCCTTTCTCGTTGGTGCACACTCCCCTGCCGTGGAGAAGGGCGTGCAGGGGTTTCTCCTCGCCGCTCCTCGGCAAGCAGCGCAGGCCCTGGGTGCACGTCCCGGTGTACACGCCGCACGCCTGTCCCTCGGATAGGGCGCACGTAAGGCAGCAGCCGCAGCCCGGCTCCTTGACCAGCTGGCAGCCGACCGGGACCGGAGGGCACATGGACAGCGCCTTCTGGTCACAAGGCTCGCACGGCACGTATGAGCCCAAGCACCCGGACAGTCCCAAGATAAATGTCACCAAGAGGCAGAGACTCAGAAACATTGTTGGTGTTCTCTTCAGTTATAAGCATAAACCTCAAATGCGAAGAGGAGGGGGAACAAAAGTAGACTGGTCTAAGCACAATGCCTCAGTCAGATAATCCGATTTTTTTTTTAAAGCTAAAGCCAGGAGTCTTTATCCAAGAGTGTTGCTATTTGCTTAAAACACATTAATTAACGGAGGCTCTGCGCCGTGCACCCTGCAAAAACAGTTCAAATCAACTGCAACTGGAAAAAAAATATATATTTGTGATTTTTTTCTCCCCCTTAGAGATGTCCTCTGCAAGCGTAAAGAAATTCTTTGCACAAAACCTCAACTTCTCTCCCCTTCAGTTTGGGCTCCAGTACTTTCTCCAGCAGAAGTTTCCTGAGCAGACTGATCAACTGGAGAGCTGCCTTGCCTTTTAAAAACAGCCGAGCCCAAACCCCTAACTGAATATGCTATGCAAAACAGCGAGGGAGGGAGGCGCACTTGTTCCACGACTTGGCAGGCGGCCAAACTTTTTTTTTTCTTCTTTTTTTTTTTTTTTTCTTCTTTCTTCTGCTTCTACTTCTTGCTCTCGCCCTGAAGGCTGAGCTGATGCCGAGTAGCAAGAGGCAACAGCGGAGAGAGCAAAGGCAGCCCTCATCCAAGCGCGCACAGCACCGGGGAGACCTGCGGGCTTTCACTGTCTGCAGCTGCAGCTCCACGCTCTCCACGGCGCATGTTTAGAGGGCTCCACGCTGCAGGAGGTGACGTTTATAGTACCGCGCACATAATCCATGCAGCTACATCAAAAAAGTATCTTTTTTTTTTTCAATACGGTTTTTGAGAAGATTCTTGTAATCTTGGAAAACGTCCATGATTAGAGAGTCTCTTTGCAGAGGGGCCCACAATGTAAGAAATAACACAAAAATCACAAATAACATGTATATTTCAATTTGGTGAAAATAAAAACATTTTTAACTTCCATTTTTGGGGAAATATTTTTTTTTACTTTATCATTCTTTCTGGTTGGTGAAAAATAATTTGTTGGTAACTCTGGTGGAGTCATGCATCCATACATCCATTATGATGGATTGAAAGGAATATACTTAGTAAGGAAAAGCATCAAAGGGAAATCTAAAAGGATGCTTTGCATTTACGTTTTTTTCCAAAGCACCAGAAAGACCAAATGTCTCCTATGGAATCATTCACTTATTTACAGGTTAGGACACAAACATAGACTTGCAGTTATTTGTACCATATATTTTTGATACATCTACAGCTTTTCTATATCTCTTCTTCCGGTTGGTTTTCCTGTGGAGATGACACGCGCGGGGACACTTACCCTGGACCATAACTCACCTAGTCTGCACCTGTTGCTTCCATTGGACATCCTACGTGTAATTGTAGCCAGAAGCAAAATCCACTAGCATCTCTGTCTCTGTCCCTCTCACACACACACACACACACACACACACACACACACACACACACACTGAGAGAGAGAGAGTCATGTGATCCAGAAGAAAGACAAACAAGAGTAAAAGAGGGGAAAGGATTTCGAGATTTGAAGCATCAACCTGACAAGTTAAATGCAAGCGGGCCTATTATTTTATAGCCTATATTCAGAATAATGCCTGATTGCTTCAGCGTGTGCTCTGCGTGCCTGCACCGCATATGCCCTCTAAATCAGCCCATCCAGGGCTGTTATTTCCATCTCTGCTGCTTTCAGGGCAGATTTTCGTCCTTAAGTAATAGCGTCGTGTCAGGAAGCTGTATATTGCCTGTCCTTCTCACATCCATTCACGTCCACGCGGCCACTCCCTGAACGCGGCTATCATTTGTACCTCCACAGGGAGATGATTTACTCTCAACTTGGTTTAGCAGTTGACCACTAGAAGGCACTGTTAACAATGATAAACTGTGCACAGCAGTCGACTCACATGTCCACCTCAGTAGACTTGGGAACTCGAAGAATCGACGCAATGAATATGCTGTCAGAGCAGCAATAGCACGGTGTAGAGGGCATGTTGCTGTTACAAAGGTACACATGGATCTATAAATAGAGCTACTGAAGTATTTATTCAAAACCAAAAGTGTTCTACATGGAACTAGTGACCGTATAAATGCTTAATCTCACTTACATGAAATTGCATTATAATGGGCGTTTCAAAATGTCTTTGTAATAGCTCTCAGAAATGTGATTTGTTTTCACCACAGCATTAGTGTGGCACATGTTTAGTGTTTCCTTTACTTCAATTCAGCCATGATTGTTTAAAAATTGGTTTACAGAGGATGTTGAAGGGTTCCAGAACCACCGTTTACATATCTTGACTCTTTTTTTATTTTTTATTTCCATGGCTTTTCCTCCGGTTTCTCTTACACGTCTTCATCCATGCTTATCACTTCCCAACTTTTGCATTCAACCATAAACATCTGGATCAGACAGACGTTTCCTCTTTTTCAGAGCTTGACACAAAACGACAGATCCATAGAAAAAAAAGAAAAACCAAAAAAAAGAGGTCTCAAATTAATCCAGCAGCCGCAGAAACTGCACCGAGTGAACTTTGATGGTTCAACCTCTCACCAGCCAGCTCCGGAGCGAAGCACTGTGGTGTAAGTCAGTGCTCCCTCCAAAACCAACATGAGCGGTAAAACCCGGCAAGAGCAAACCAAGACATAAATCTGAGCTGCCCGAGCAGCGATAATGAACAGGATTAAGACAGTAAAGCGGCGTGGATTAACAGTGCACCCACCAAATGTGAGCTGGGCACGAGACGATGGATGGAGAAAGAGGATGACAAATTACAAGGGAAGTGTGCTCCCAAGTACAAGTTCCAGTTCAGGATGTAAAAGATTCTACATGTAGTAATTGTTTAGGTATGTCCATGCAGGACCCAATCCAACTTAAAAGGACTAATGTGTGGTTGAAAATATGTTTGTTGCTCTGATAATGACCCGGGCGGGTTTACAATGGAGCTACAGGTGAAAGTCGGGCACATTGCATGCTGGCGATGAAGGAAGCCTCAGTACGTCTGTTTTAGATGAAGTCACGCTGTGGTATTTTTTTTGTCATTAAACTAAAACAAGGAGTTTCCTTGTATTATTTGTTTTGTTTTGTTGTTTCAGCCAAACATGCCAAGCTCTCATTTGTGCCAAAAGCTCAAACTTGTGTCGTTGCACAACTTGGCTTGTAAATGTTCAGGTTTGATTGCACGTTAAAGGACGTGCCTATGAGTCTCTCATGTGTTCGCCTGCATGTAGCTGTGTGTGTGCGTTTGTGTGTGGGTGTGTGTGTGTGTTTGTGTATGCATTTGTGTGGGCAGGTATTTTTGTGGTTTAAGTCTCCCCATAGATGGAAAATAACGGACACTAAAAAATGCAGCTTGTAATTTTTCATGTTTCACTTCGTCAGGCCGTCACCCTACATATACACAAGAGGGGAGCGCAATACACAAACACTCTTGGACACACAAACAGTCCCATTTCCAAGGATAGACAGAAAAGTGTTGTTGTGTATATCTGTTGAGACCAGACAGCATGGCTCCAGCAATGAACCTGTTGGCACTGTGCATTCTGTCATTTAAAGTGTGGAATTAACTCTGTCCGCTGTGGAGTCCTTAAGGAAAGTATGTGAGGAATAAACTTGCATGTGCAAATGTGTGAGTGTGCAATTGGGACAATTGGACTAATACACTGGGCTCACACACAGCTTTGAATTACAGAAGCAATTGGTTTCATCCTCAGTGAAATCAATGGATTTCTCTGCTACAGAGAGCACCTAACAATATAATTATTTAAACTGTCCGGGTTTAACTGGAGCGCTTCAATACTTATTATGGTATGACTGGTCTTTCAGAGATTTTTATTATGTGTCAAGAATACAAATATTGACTTTTTCTGTCATGGCACTGGTCAAAGTTTAACAAAGCCTTTCAAATATTTGTGTGAAAGATTAGCTACTGACAGCCGCAATAAATAAAAGTGATATCAACATCAGCCTTGGAGCAAATGAAATCCATATTGCAGAAAAATAAATCATTTCCTTAATGACTTCGAAGAGAAGTCAGTGGTCTCAGCTCATGTGCTCAATAAAAGCAGAGGCCCTGTCACTTCTGTAGGAAGGAGGGGGAAAGAGTATCTCCTCAATTTGAAGCCTTCTAAAAGATTTTCATTCACTAAATAGTGAGTAAGAATATACGTACTCCTGCTTGGACTGTCTCTCCCTACAGTTGACACGGTTGCTATAGAAGCATTGTCAACAGCGCTGTGAACTTGGTGATGAGCGGCCTGCGGATTCCCATTAGCATGGAATCACCTCGGTGTCAAGGACACCTGCATGATCTTGTAATGCAAAACGGTGCCAAGGCTTATCAGAGCGCCGCCATTGGAAACTTCGCAGAGAGATAAGCTGGCTGTTGAGTGTAAAACCATATACCAGCGGTAGTCTTTTTATAGTCTATTAATGCACGGTTGGCCAAACAAACTGACATGCGCATGGAAATTTAGAACAAACAATACAGTTCTGCATTTGCATGGTGACTAATTAATGTAATTATATGGCTACACATGTAGACCGGATTTCAACAAGATTTGCAATATTAGCCGTAAACGTTTCTTTGTAATGATTCAGCACAAACTAGAGGATGAAACATTTCCATATTCAAAATTACGTTAAAATCCGGCCTAAAGATATACGTCTTTTCCACGTCTCTAAATTCAACATTATTCGTCTGAGTATTCAGTCCTCTCTTTTCAACATCTACCATGCAGTTGAAAAGATGATTACACTTAGTTTTGGTCGTATATTAAAGTTACAAGGATGTGTGCCAGATACAATGTGACCAGTACACAAGTGAAGACTGGGATGGGCAATAGTAAAAAGGTGCTTAAATCCACTAATACCTTTGCTAAAATCACTGATATTAATACAGATACTACATTTGCATAAGAGAGTGAGGGTTTCCCCATCCGGTACAAAGGTCATTCTGTGTTGGATGTTTATGAAGGAAAATATGTGATGTCATTTGACTTTACATTAGTAATGTTATGATTCTTACAGGCTGTGCTTTGACTTTGCCAGATACAGTATATGCATTGCAGTAGGAGGAGACAGAAGAAACGACACTTATAGCCGCAAATGTTGGGCTACTGCTGTTGGTTGCAGGTTTGTAAATGTAGACATCTAGGCAGTGACGACAGCGCCGAACCTGCAGCTAAGTGGAGGATCATCGGTGGAAATGAGGCGAGAACAGGTGATGCAGCTTTGATATAATTAGTACATGTGATTTATTTTAAAATTGTTGTCCTGATTAGCTAGCTAATGCATTAGCTAGCTAATCAGGACAAAAAGTCTCTTGTGCAAGATTGTCAACAGGTTCATTTAAACATGTTTGATTTTGGAGAGTAGCTCGCTTTTGGAGCCGTGCCTCAATTGGTCATTGAAAGAGCTGCA